TTTGAGTTTTACCTATTTGCTGACGATACTAACTTGCTTTATTCAAACAAAGATCTTAAGGATCTTGAAAAAGTTGTTGTTAATGATGAACTCGCAAAAGTGGGTGACTGGTTGGACGCAAACAAACTTTCTCTTAACACTAGTAAATCTAACTTTGTTATTTTCCATCCTTACCAACGCAAATTGGACTACATAGTTCACTTGAAAATTTATAATAACGATCTTAAAAAAAGTGTATCTCTAGAACAAAAAACTTTTGTGAAATATCTAGGAATTCTGATAGATAATAACCTCTCTTGGAAGTATCATATTGATTATATCTCATCTAAAGTTAGTAAAGGAATTGGTATAATTGCCAGGTTAAGACATCTTGTCCCATTTGCCACACTTCTTAACATCTACCGCTCCTTAATTGAACCCTATATCTCTTATGGTCTTATTGCCTGGGGACAAGCTGCTAACACTCATTTAAATAAGGTTCTCATTTTACAAAAACGTGCTCTACGACTAATGTATTTTGCGGATAGCAAATCTCATAGTGCCCCGCTATTTGTTAACTCCAGAATCTTACCAATAACTATGCTCTATTCTCATTTGGTTTCCTCTTTGATGCATGACATTGATAATCACCGTGCCCCGTCTAATATTTCTATGCTCTTTATCCACTCCGAGCAGGTTCATCACCATTTCACAAGATTCTCAGCAACGGCTAATCTGTACGTTAAAGCGTCTAGAACTAACCAACTTTTATTTTCTTTTGCTAGAATAGGTGTAAGATTGTGGAATAGCATCCCAAAAGAACTTCGTATTAAAAACAGAACCCCGTTTAAGCGTGAACTTAAAAATCGCCTGTTAAAACTTTTGGAAAATGAGGAGATGAATGTTGATATACGCTGCTCAGAAATTTGTAAATATCTCTTGATAAAGTAACTCTTCGTTTAAGTCTTGTTTCAATTGTATTATATATCTTGATAACTTTGCAATTGATTATTTAATTATTCAACGGACTTAATTTTATTTTATTTTATTTAACAATTGTATTTTTATTAATGATTATCTTTGTTTAATTGTATCGGTATGTGATCCTTAGCAGAGACAGCACTTGTTTTAGAAGGGTGGCCCGCCTAGAATAGCTTGCTAATTGCGGGTCACCTAGGACTGTGATAATATTGTATTGCTAACAAATAAAATTGAATTGAATTGAATTGAAAAAATTGAACACTGAAACAGACTATGCAAATTAGGAATCGTCTGCAAAGCTAAACTCGTGGAAACAGAAGTCATGCCAGTAAAGACGTGATTCGAGCTGAATCTTTCTTTGTTTAGCATGTTTAGCTCTGGTTTCTCAAGGACGGGAAGAGACTCCTTTTTTGTATAAAGTGGCTAACATCTTTAGGTCTGCCATTGTCGCGTCAATATCTAAATATACGAGAAATTTACGTTCTTAAGAAAGAAAATGAGGGTAAGTCCGTTTAAATCATTCATTTCTTTTCATTTTTCATCATCTTCTGAAAGCCATCGACTTCTAAAACAAAAGAAAACAACAGGAGTCTATTAATGACTTAATGGGCACGCAAAGTCTCTTCTGCCGTTAGATTGTGTCGTGAACTTCCCGTATTTCTGAGAAATTCGGTTTGTGAAATGATTAATCAAAACTTTCAACTCCTAAAAAGCCTTTAGAGAATCAAATTGCAGGTGAGCAGCTTAGGAAACTGATAGGGAATTATCAGCGAAATGTGTTTTCTGCTGTCTGAATTAAAGTATGGACAAATTATTCAATAATTCAAGCCGCGCAGATTCTAAGATACTCGAACATGACATATTGGGGGGTTTTACAATTTGGCGGTTGCTAGGCGTTGTATGGGTCATTAGAACTTAATTCCGCGCTCGTTCAACTTTCTCTTGTTCTTGGTACGTGTACCGTTAACAAGGAACACAGGTAAGTTCAGTTTCTTATTTGTCGTTTTGGCGTTGTGTTCTCTCACATCTGATCACGTATTGTTATATTATGGATCTGGAGAAGTACCTTTTCTTTTCATCCCGCTGTATTTTGACCATGCAAGTAATGCTCCTTCCTGAATACGACTTGTGAATAAGAGCGAAGCCGAAATCCTAGTCTCAGTGGCGTCTAACTACGTACATACTTTTACGCGCAAAGGACTAAGACGATTCGTTCGACAAGTAATAGTCTTAAATCTCGTTGGCTGACTTGCTCTATTAAAAATTCACAAAGAGCATAAACTTTCCTCGTACCAAAGTAAATCTCAAACAAGCCGTTCCCTCAATATTTGTGCCTCAGACAACAGCATTCAAAATTTAAAGGACCAGCACGATTCGTTCGACAAGTACATGTACTAGTCTTTCAAATCCAGCGTTGGCTGACTTGCTCTTTTAAAAATTCACTAAGAGCATAAACTTTCCTCGCGCCAAAATGAATCTAAAACAAGCTTCTCTTAATATTTGTGCCTCAAACAACAGGCATTCAAAGTTTCAATGCACACGCTTTTCATATGAGGCATTGTGTTTATTTCATTCGTTCTGGGAGCATTAGGATTGAAGTATAGTTTCCTCTAGTTTGTTGTCGACTTTAGATATCTGAGGGTAAACTTTGAGAGGTTATCGGGAATGACCTAAAGAAAATTCTAAATTGTATATCAGTTGGAGCTTAATTAAAATTTACCCCTCGGGTGGATACTGTGATATTTACGAGAAAAAGAAAGGAAAAACCTTACTGTCGTGACCCTTTTCAAGGTAAGAACATATTTCTTTCGCTTAGAATAGACTGCTATCATGGCGCCAAATTATTCGCCAATTATACCTGATTAAATCCGCCTTTTTCTACATTCTTCTGCGATAGAGACAAGAAATCAAGTTTGGAAGGCACTGACACATTCCTAGTCTTGCTTTCAGAGTGAATCAAACGTTACTGATTACGGCACGTATTTTCGTACAGATAGTGCAGTCAGAAGAATCGACTACCTTATTGCCCCATTTACTTTTGGAGTTTCTAGGAATCAGAAAACAATTATTCCTTATACTACTATTTCCTGTTTTACAAACTCAAAAATCCGAACACTGAAACAGACCAATGCAAATTAGAAATCGTCTGCAAAGCCAAACTCGAGGAATAAGAAGTCATGCCAGTAAGGGCCTGATTTGAGCTGAATCTTTCTTTGTTTAGCATGTATAGCTCTGGTTTCCCAAGGACGGGAAGAGACTGCTTTTTTGTATGTAGTGGATAACATCTTTAAGTCTGCCATTGTCGCGTCAATATCTAAATATACGAGAAATTTACGTTCTTAAGAAAGAAAATGAGGGTACGTCCGTTTAAATCATTCATTTCTTTTCATTTTTCATCATCTTCTGAAAGTCATCAACTTCTAAAACAAAAGAAAATAACAGGAGTCTATTAATGACTTAAAGGGCACGCAAAGTCTCTTCTGCCGTTAGACTGTGTCGTAAACTTCCCGTATTTCTGAGAAATTCGGTTTGTGAAATGATTAATCAAAACTATCAACTCTTAAAAAGTCGTTAGAGAATCAAATTGCAGGTGAGTAGCTTAGGAAACCGATAGGGAGTTATCAGCGAAATGTGTTTTCTGCTGTCTTAATTAATGTATGGACAAATTATTCAATAATTCGGGCCGCGCAAATTCTAAGATACTTGAATATGACATGTTGGGGGGTGTTACGATTTGGCGGTTGCTAGGCGTTGTATGGGTCATTAGAACTTAATTCCGTGCTCGTTCAACTTTCTCTTGTTCTTGGTACGTGTACCGTTAACAAGGAACACAGGTAAGTTCAGTTTCTTATTTGTCGTTTTGGCGTTGTGTTCTCTCATATCTGATCACGTATTGTTATATTATGGATCTGGAGAAGTACGTTTTCTTTTCATCTCGCTGTCTTTTGACCATGCAAGTAATGCTCCTTCCTGAATACGACTTGTGAATAAGAGCGAAGCCGAAATCCTAGTCTCAGTGGCGTCTCACTACGTACATACTTTTACGCGCAAAGGACTAAGACGATTCGTTCGAAAAGTAATAGTCTTGTGAATAGTCTGCCAATTATACCTGATTAAATCTGCCTTTTTCTATATTCTTCTGCGATGGAGACAAGGAATCAAGTTTGGAAGGCACTTACACATTCCTAGTCTTGCTTTCAGAGTGAATCAAACGTCACTGATTACGGCACGTATTTTCGTACAGATAGTGCAGTCAGAAGAATCGACTACCTTATTGACCCATCTACTTTTGGAGTTTCTAGGAATCAGAAAACAATTATTCCTTATACTACTATTTCCTGTTTTACAAACTCAAAAATCCGAACACCGAAACAGACCAATGAAAATTAGAAATCGTCTGCAAAGCTAAACTCGAGGAATAAGAAGTCATGCCAGTAAGGGCGTGATTTGAGCTGAATCTTTCTTTGTTTAGCATGTTTAGCTCTGGTTTCCCAAGGACGGGAAGAGACTGCTTTTTTGTATGTAGTGGATAACATCTTTAGGTCTGCCATTGTCGCGTCAATATCTAAATATACGAGAAATTTACGTTCTTAAGAAAGAAAATGAGGGTACGTCCGTTTAAATCATTCATTTCTTTTCATTTTTCATCATCTTCTGAAAGCCATCAACTTCTAAAACAAAAGAAAACAACAGGAGTCTATTAATGACTTAATGGGCACGCAAAGTCTCTTCTGCCGTTAGATTGTGTTGTGAACTTCCCGTGTTTCTGAGAAATTCGGTTTGTGAAATGATTAGTCAAAACTAAAACTCCTAAAAAGCCTTTAGAGAATCAAATTGTAGGTGAGCAGCTTAGGAAACTGATAGGGAATTATCAGCGAAATGTGTTTTCTGCTGTCTTAATTAATGTATGGACAAATTATTCAATAATTCAAGCCGCGCAAATTCTAAGATACTTGAACATGACATGTTGGGGGGTGCTACGATTTGACGGTTGCTAGGCGTTGTATGGGTCATTAGAACTTAATTCCGTGCTCGTTCAACTTTCTCTTGTTCTTGGTACGTGTGCAGTAAACTAGGAACACAGGTAAGTTCAGTTTCTTATTTTGCGTTTTGCCGTTGTGTTCTCTCACATCTGATCACGTATTGTTATATTATGGATCTGGAGAAGTACGTTTTCTTTTCATCTCGCTGTATTTTGACCATGCAAGTAATGCTCCTTCCTGAATACGACTTGTGAGTAAGAGTGAAGCCAAAATCCTAGTTCAGTGGCGTCTAACTACGTACATACTTTTACGTACAAAGGACTAAGACGATTCGTTCGACAAGTAATAGTCTTTTAAGTCTCGTTGGCTGACTTGCTCTATTAAAAATTCACTGAGAGCACAAACTTTCCTCGTACCAAAGTAAATCTCAAACAAGCCGTTCTCTCAATATTTGTGCTTTAAACGACAGCATTCAAAATTTAAAGGACCAGCACGATTCGTTCGACAAGTACATGTACTAGTCTTTCAAATCCGGCGTTGGCTGACTTGCTCTGTTAAAAATTAACTAAGAGCATAAACTTTCCTCGCGCCAAAATGAATCTCAAACAAGCTTCTCTTAATATTTGTGCCTCAAACAACAGGCATTCAAAGTTTCAATGCACACACTTTTCATACGAGGCATTGTGTTTATTTCATTCGTTCTGGGAACATTAGGATTGATGTATAGTTTCCTCTAGTTTGTTGTCGACTCTAGATATTTGGGAGTAAACTTTGAGAGATTATCGGTAACGACCTAAAGAAAATTATAAATTGTATATCAGTTGGAGCTTAATTAATTTTAATCCTCCGGGTGGATACTGTGATATTTACGAGCAAAGAAAGGAAAAAAATTACCGTCGTGACCCTTTTCAAGGTAAGAACATATTTCTTTCGATTAGAATAGGCTGCTATCATGGCGCCAAATTATTCGCCAATTATACCTGATTAAATCTGCCTTTTTCTACATTCCTCTGCGATGGAGACAAGGAATCAAGTTTGGAAGGCACTTACACATTCCTAGTCTTTTTTTCAGAGTGAATCAAACGTTACTGATTACGGCACGTATTTTCGTACAGATAATGCAGTCAGAAGAATCGACTACCTTATTGCCCCATTTACTTTTGGAGTTTCTAGGAATCAGAAAACAATCATTCCCTATACAACTATTTCCTGTTTTACAAACTCAAAAATCCGAACACTGAAACAGACCAATGCAAATTAGGAATCGTCTGCAAAGCTAAACTCGAGAAATAAGAAGTCACACCAGTAAGGGCGTGATTTGAGCTGAATCTCTCTTTGTTTAGCATGTTTAGCTCTGGTTTCCCAAGGACGGGAAGAGGCTTATTTCTTGTATAAAATGGCTAACATCTTTAGGTCTGCCATTGTCGCGTCAATATCTAAATATACAAGAAATTTACGTTCTTAAGAAAGAAAATGAGAGTACGTCCGTTTAAATCATTCATTTCTTTTCATTTTTTTTTTATCATCTTCTGAAAGTCATCAACTTTTGAAACAATAGACAACAATAGGAGTCTATTCATGACTTAATGAAGTCTCTTCTGCCGTTAGATTGTGTCGTAAACTTCCCGTATTTCTGAGAAATTCGGTTTGTGAAATGATTAATCAAAATTATCAACTCCTAAAAAGCCTTTAGGGAATCAAATTGCAGGTGAGTAACTTTGGAAACTGATAGGGAATTATCAGCGAAATGTGTTTACTGCTGTCTTAAATTAGGTACGGACAAATGATTCAATAATTCAAGCCGAGAAAATTCTAAGATACTCGGACATGACATGTTGGGGGTGTTACAATTTGACGGTTACTAGGCGTTGTATGGGTCATTTGAACTTAACTTCGTGCTCGTTTAACTTTCTCTTGTTCTTGGTACGTGTACCGTTAATAAGGAACACCTGTAAGTTCAGCTTCTTATTTTGCGTTTTGGCGTTGTGTTCTCTCATATCTGATCACGTATTGTTATATTATGGATCTGGAGAAGTGCGTTTTTTATTCATCTCGCTGTATTTTGACCATGCAAGTAATGCTCCTTCCTGAATACGACTTGTGAATAAGAGTGAAGCCGAAATCCTTGTTCAGTGGCATCTAACTACGTACATACTTTTACATACAAAGGACTAGGACGATTCGTTCGACAAGTAATAGTCTTTTAAATCTCGTTGGCTGACTTGCTCTATGAAAAATTCACTGAGAGCATAAACTTTCAAAACCAAAGTAAATCTCAAACAAGTTTCTATTAATATTTTTACCTCAAACAACAGCATTCAAAGTTTAAAGGACCAGCACGATTCGTTCGACGAGTACGAGTACTAGCCTTTCAAATCTCTAATCCTGTTTTACAAACTCAAAAAAAAAAACTGAAACAGACCAATGCAAATTAGAAATCGTCTGCAAAGCTAAACTCGTGGAATCAGAAGTCATGCCAGTAAAGACGTGATTTGAATTGAATCTTTCTTTGTTTAGCATGTTTAGCTCTGGTTTCCCAAAGACGGGAAGAGACTCATTTCTTGTATAAAGTGGCCAACATCTTTAGGTCTGCCGTTGTCGCGTCAATATCTAGATATTCTTAAGAGAGAAAAGGAAGGTACGTCCGTTTAAATCATTCATTTCGTTTCATTTTTCAGCAAATAAGGGAGATAAGAAACAGACAGGACAGCCTGAGAGCTAGTTTGCTTGACGAACCCAACAATCTCAACTGGAATTTCTTAGGTCTTTTTAAGGTATGTATGTTCTGTTGTTCACTGAAATCGCTTTTTAAAAAAACACTTCCATATGTAAACAGAAATTATACACGCATTTGACTGATTCTTACTTGATCTACGGGAAGACTAAGGTTTAGATAACGTCACCATTTAAAAATTCATGTTGTTGTTTTCTGTTCAGTTATAGATCACAGAAGACGTAAAAACGTGGTAAGAACACCAGTAACACACTCGGTTACGCCTCATGTAATATTTCACTGAAATTTCGTAGGGCTCGAGACTAATCAGGAAGTTTTTCGTTTCGTTTTGACAAATTTCCTATCATTATCAACCACTGAGCGCACGAGAAGTTGCACAAATATCATGAAAAGATTTAAGCAATGGAAATATTGATAGATTTGTTGCCGAAAATCATTTAACATCATTCTGCTGTTTTTCTTTACTCTAGGAATAATGAGCAGTCCTTCAAAGCAGCATACCGATTTTGTCAAGAGCGCCATTGGACAAAAACTGGTTACCGAGCTACCGGGAATAGGTTCTGTTACTGGGAAAAAGCTGAATGATGCTGGAATTACCCGAGTGTATCAGGTTTTTGGCCAGTTTCTTGTCTTAAATAAAGATCGCGAAAAGTTCTACAAGTGGCTGGGAGGCTTCGGAGCGAATGATGGCCAATGCAAAGCATGTTTCGACGCCTTGGACGATTGGAGCAAAAACCACTTGGACTGACGATTAGAACTATTCTTTACTAGATCTGTAGTTACAACGCCTTTGTACTATTTACATTGAGTTTGTACTGTAAACGGTGTTCGCTCTCTCTTGAGAATAAAACTAGTGATGTAAACACCTCTAAATTCACGATTCATCCTTTGATAGTCTAGCAAGGAGTCTACGACAAATCCATTAAGCTGAGTCCGCCTAAAAGGTACCTGTCTTCCTCCCAAGAAAGCGAACGTTATGTATGCTGAAAGCATTTTACTTGTTTAAAATCAGATACGTAATCCGAGCAAAGCGCCTTTTATTTTCGAAACTGCAAGTGGCCAGTAGATATTGGACTGACTATAGCTGGTGTTATTTACAATGGTAATAGCAGCAAGTTGAGTCTATAATTCAGTGAGTGTTCAGAACAGAAGGACCTCGATACGAAATTAACTTCGATCCAGATGCCTGCGCTAAAATTTCTCCTCTTCGTTAAAATTCAGCATTTAACACTCGCTAAATGTTATGTTAGCGCCAGTTCGCACTACGCGAAATTTTGTTTGTTTTACAAAAAAAATCTGTCAACGCGAAACCGTTTTCAATGCGAACGATTTGTTTGACCCACCAAAATTTTCGCAAGTGCCACCAAACTTCAGAGATACCGTCAACTAGCTTTAGAGGCCTACAATTTTTTGTCGGGCGAGAAAATCTATTGTTCCTTAACAGATACCCTTCAACTGGTCACCATATTTCGTTATTCATACCAGGCTAAATGGTATTATGTACGAGTGTTTTCTCTCTGAACGTAGCCTCTTAAGAGTGTTAGTAAGTTGTCCAATGACTCTCCCCGTTTTCAAATACCTACGGAAAAAGGCTTCAGGGAAGTTATGCTGGTGCATGCGGATTTCAAACCAGGATTCTACAGGTCGAGGAAATGTCCAATACGGGTGAAAACGACGGCGGCGTCGACGTCTGTTGAGCAGCTGAGTTAACGTCTCCAAGATCCGTAAAAGCCGAATCCTTCCCAACAAAACCAGAATTAATTGTTGACTGACCACAATCAGGTTTTGTATGGCAAGCAAACAGCAAAGAATGGCCATTAAAACATACCGCGGGGGCATTTTGCTTTGCGATCAGTCTTTGACCGGAAACGACTTAAAAGGAAAAGCACTGTCACGAAATCTCGGTAACTATTTCGATTGACTGACATTTGTGGTTACACCACAGGCGGCCCAAGCTCCAGCTGTGAGATGATCATCTTACGCAATAACGGTCACGGCGGAATTATAAGAGTTTGTATGGGCATATTTACGACCGCCCTCAGGAATAAAAAAAAATACGTCAAATTCTCAAAAAAAAATACCTCACCTCGCTTCCACAGCGTATTGCTTGTTATCTGACCGCTTACTTTGATGTAAAGAGCCCATTTGAGCGAGTTGTTCATTTCAAGGTTTTCAACGTACCGCTTACTTTGATGAAAAGGACGCATTTTAGCGAGTTGTCCATTTCGACGTTTTCAACGTTCAGCTCCAGCTGTGACATGATCATCTTGCGCAATTACAGTCATGGCGGAATTATAAGAGTTTGTATGGGCATATTTACGACCGTCCTCAGGAATAAACAAAATACGTCAAATTCTAAAAAAAAAAATACCTCACCTTACTTCCACAGTGTATCATTTGTTATCTGACCGCTTACTTTGATGAAAAGAGCCCATTTTAGCGAGTTGTTCATTTCGAGGTTTTCAACGTACATAAAATTATGAACGTTGAAAACATCGAAATGGACAACTCGCTAAAATGCGTCCTTTTCATCAAAGTAAGCGGTCAGATAACAAGCGTTACTCTGTAGAAGTAAGGTGAGGTATTTTTTTTGAGAATTTGACGTATTATTTTATTCCTTAGGGCGGCCGTAAATATTCCCATACAAACTCTTATAATTCCGCCATGACTGTTATTGCACAAGATGATCATCTCACAGCTGGAGCTTGGAAACTACGACGGATACACAGGGCATGAGTAAGTTTTATTGATTTTACGAGACTTAATGGACAGGCAAAGTCTCTTCTTCCGTTAGATTATATCGTAAACTTCCTGTATTTCTGAGAAATTCGGTTTGTGAAATGATTAATCAAAACTATCAACTCCTTAAAATCCTTTAGAGAATCAAATTGCAGGTGAGTAGCTTTGGAAACTGATAGGGAAATTATCAGCGAAATGTGTTTTCTGCTGTCTTAATTAAGGTATGGACAAATGATTCAATTCGAGCCGCGCAAATTCTAAATCGCCGTTTACACGACCAATGAAACCGTATCGTTTTGAAAACGTTCCACTTTTGAAAGCGTTTTCAGAACGACCCGGTTCTGATAACGAACATGACCGGCGCCGTTTAAACGAAAGGCGCAACCGCATCAAAACCGATGCGGTTACAAATGAAACCGCGTCCGTGTAAGCAGTGCCTAAGAAACTCGAACATGATATGTTGGGGGGTGTTACGATTTGACAGTTGCTAGGCGTTGTATGGGTCAGAATTTAATTCCGTGCTTTTCATTCTCGTTTCACTATCTATTGTTCTTGGTATGTGTACAATTCACAAGGAACACAGGTAAGGTTATCCCCTTATTTGCGTTTTGGCGTCGTGTTCTCTCGTATCTGTTCACGTATTGTTATATTATGGATCTGGAGAAGAACGTTTTCTATTCATCTTGCTGTATTTTGACCATGCAAGTAATGCTCGTTCCTGAATACGACTTGTGAATTCGAGTGAAGCCGAAATCCAAGTCTCAGTGGCGACATACCACGCACATACTTTTTCTCCCAGGACTAACACGATTCGTTCGACAAGTACATGTACTAGTCTTTCAAATCTCGTTGGCGGACTTGCTCTGTTGAAAATTCACTAAGAGCATAAACTATCCTCGTACCAAACTAAATCTCAAAGAAGCTTCTCTTGATATTTGTGCCTCAAACAACAGGCATCCAAAGTTTCAATGCACACACATTTCATATGAGGCATCGTGTTTATTGCATTCATTCTGGGAGCAGTAGGATGGAGCTATAGTTTCCTCTAGTTTGTTGTCGACTCTAGATATCTGATAGTAAACTGTGAGAGATTATCGGGAACGATCTAGAAAAAACATTAAATTGTATACCAGTTTGAGCTTTATCAAGTCTTAGTGGTCAGGCCCTGGGCCGATCGTGCAAATACTCGGATTACATCCGATCGCTCTGAAATTTCGGCTGTAGCATGTAAACATTCTAAGCCAATCACATGGCGAGTTTTAGCTCCGAACTATCAAACTGACCTCGTACGATTTCAGTCTGCGATAATGGCGTCCGATGCGAAACGCTAGAGATACAGCGTAGCTAAGGCTTTAGAGGTGATTTTTGACGATGGAAGTGTACATGGTGGTATCTCTAGTGGTGAGGAATCCGAATTAGATTGAAAACTGGAAAATCCTAGCGAAGAATCGAGGTAAGTAATCTGTAAACATTCTTGGGATATTTAAATGCGTGACGCATGTGGTGTTGAAACATTTACTTTTACTTTTCGCGTACGAATCCTTGTTTTTTGCCTTGAGACAAACCTGTAAATGTATATTTGTGAATGAAAAGCAACATATATTATGATCAAACATGATTTTTGAGCGACAGAGAAAATAATCTTCAATGGAATGTTAGAACGCAACGACCTAAATTATCAGCCGATGACAGATAAGACGCATGTGCGTCCGAACTAAATCAAATAAAATCTTTCATTTTTGAAACGTTAGTTGTATATATATCGACCTGTATATTATCTTATATGTTTTGTATGTTTTTTAGATGTGGTTCTACTTGTTACATGCCGAAAATTCACAAAACAAACAAATTATGCTCGAGAATGGGTGGAATGATATAAAATGACAGTTTCCGGCTTCACTTCAAACAAAGAACTATAGTTCCAATGGTTGCACTGTAGACTTCAAGAGGGATTAGTAAATTTGGGCATTTCACTTCTGAATTGTTTACTCTTGAAAATACTGGTGGTGCATTGCAAGTGAAAGGCTTTTGATATATGTTGCGCTTTATGTATTTTGAGGTTGATTATCTCATTTGTCCCTGTTTCAAGGCAAAATTTCAGAAGTCAAACAAAGAAATATAGTTCCAATGATTTCACTGTAGACTTCAAGAGGGATTAGTAAATTTGGGCTTGGGGTGATGATGAGGTCAGACTAATTAGTCAGTGTGTCAATCAGTGTTCACTAGATATGTGTAACACATCTCAGATTTGTTATCTTCCAACCAATTTTTTATGGAGATGTTGCCCATATAACAAGGAACCTCTTAAGTTAATTTTTGCCTCATTACTTTGTATTATTTGGGTATCACTTAATTCACAGTTCAAATTTAGATGATATTTTATGCTAATTAATGTTAGTTTGAAAGCATTCAATGAGGTTGTTTCCTTTTTCTGTGATTAGGAATGACCCGCGGAGTAATCACCCACAAGTGTGGCGTCTGGAGCGGTTGAATCGATCCGCCGGCCCCAAACCACAGTGTGCAGGGTGTAAGAAAGTGTCCTTTGATACTGGTGATATTCTGTTGGCGGTTGATGCTCTTTACGTTCCACGCAACAAGGAACTTTGTGTTCAGCGATCGTATAGATTCTGTGTCGACGCTCCGTGCTTCTCCGAAGTGCCAAGGTTTTCAAACTTAAAACCAGCCAGAAACGCACTTGCCGGTCGAGGAGCGACTCATGAAAACATTGAAAGAGCATTCTCTATGGTGCTAACAATTGAGTCAATGCAACCTCACACTGAATTCTGAAAGTAGAACGAAACAGTTGTTTTTGTTGAGCGACATGTTTTAACTCGTATCGTCCAAGTTTAAGTTGTCAACGAACCTCTCGGCGATGAAGATATGTGACATGAATGTATTACACAGCTATTGCACGATAAAAAGGGGACCATTTTCGTTAAAATAAGTATTTATTAGTTTCCGCCAGCTGCCTAGACGTTTTTGATAAAAGCCTCGACTAAGGACCGGCCCACATGTGCTACAAAGCATAAAAATTCTGACTTGCGAAGCGTTTGTTTCACAACATTCACTCGCCCAAATTGGGGATTCAAAATAAGATATAAAATCATCTTGCCTGAGTAGTTTGCGAGCAATCATTTTTGACTCTATTGTGCGTTTTGTTTAGTTATTACAGACCAAGGGTGAATGACAGTGAATTCAGGAATTTGTGCACAGCGAGAGGTGTGTCCAATTATTCCTTCACGTCTAGGTTTAACACAGTTTAAACAATTGAGTTCACAGTTTTAGTTGTATTTGAAGTTTCATATTATAATACAACGTTCAGGTTAGGTTAACTGTATGCAGCTACATGTTACACTTAAGTAAATAAAGTTCAAGTTAGGCTGGTTCTTTGGGTGGAGATGGCTTTTCTTTCTGTGCTAATCCAGTTCTTTACTGTCGCTGTAAAGGATGGGCAGTTCACGGTTTTTGTTATAACGCACTGCTCACTCCTTGAGCAGGTAAGAGGTAGCGAAACCTGAAATCGTGTTTTCTGATTGACTACCTGGCTGGCAGTATGGGGCTATCTTGCCCACTTTGGATTACTTGTTTTGATCCCGCAAGAAAACATTCTTAAGTCAATGAGTGATCTTTTGGCCATGTTACGGTGAGTTTTCATTGAGAAGCGAAGTGCTACCGTTATTTCCATGTGTGACCGTTGAAATGACAATTAGAAACAGTCACAACTTTATTTATTCTCTGCAACACAGCAATTAACGGTTTTGTCAAACGCTTTTTAGTACTTATTAATTCTAACAGTTTAGTTTGGACTACCCAAAATTGCATCACCAAAAATGCAAAGATGCCACCTTTGGAAACTCGTTAGGCTCGGTAATAGGTTAGAACTTGTAAATGCGTGCGATCTCCCTGAGAGTGTCATCGATATTTGTTGTATTTGTTTGGACCGAATACAATCGACTGAAAAGCGAAAATGAAATTGACCTAAATGCGCACTGTGGGGCTCCTAAATGCTCGCTGAAGGCTTCATGACCTTCATAAATTGCTTCCTCGACTACAGGTAATCATAACAGATCGGTAAAAACGACCAAAGACATCGAAAAGGCTGCTAAACTTACCTGTGAAGATCTCTTTCCCGAAACAACACAGCGGGCCGAATGTGAGTTTCGTCTATTTTGAGACAAATGCTGATTGGATATTGATAGAAGGAGGTCGCGAAGTGGTTGAATTCCTGGTTTTCCCAGGAGCAGTCCGATGACTGGGTCGCAATATGGATATTTCTAGAAGGCCGTTGCTTCAACCGAATCATCGATCCAGTGTACCGAAAATTCTCAGGTGCTGAAAAAAATTGCTGCAGCCTACGCTGAAGCTCCGGCCGCAATAAATCCTCTCAGGTTGTAAATGAGCGCATCAATGCGTGAATGGGGTACAAAGCACTTTCCATGCTACAGTTTCTTTATTTAAAATTCTTTCAGATTTTCATCTTCAAATGCTTTCTAGAGAGGAGCCAAAGACTGTCTTAATAAAGACAGGAGAGAAAATGGAAAGATATTGAAAAAAACTGTGGCTCGCAAGAAGAGGCTCGAGGCTCGCAAAAAACGGCTCCGGCTCGCATGCTAGCACATTAGTTTAACTTGCTAGTAATTGCTATGCTAATTATTTTATATTCCCTCAGCAAAAGACTCAAAGAACTTTACAAAATGAACTAACAAGTTACAAAAAATTCGAGGTGGTTGTAGGTGGGTTTTGAAATTTTTGAGGTGGTTGTAGATGGTTGTAGGTGGTTTTAGGTGGTTTTAGGTCGTTCCTTGTTTTAGTACTTACGCGTGGATTTAGCTAAATCCTTTTTTGTTTAACATGTTTAGCTCTGGTTTCTCAAAGACGGGAAGAGACGCACTTCTTGAATAAAGTGGCTAACATCTTTAAGTCTGCCATTGTCGCGTCAATATCGAAATATACGAGAAATTTACGTTCGTAAGAAAGAAAATGGGCGTACGTCAGTTTAAATCATTCATTTCTTTTCATTTTTCCGCAAATAAGGGAGATAAGAAACAGACAGAACAGCCTGAGAGCTAGTTTGCTTGACGAACCTTGACAATCTCAGCTGGAATTCTTTGGGTCTTTTTAAGGTATGTATGTTCTGTTGTTCACTGAAATCGCTTTTAAAGTGCCCATTTACACACGTCCATAAGCAAAGAGAAATTATACACGCATTTGACTGATTCTAGCTTGAGATCTATAGGAAGATCTAATATCTATTTGCACAAGTATCATGAAAATATTTAAGCAATGGAGATTTTAATCGATTTGTAGTCGAAAATCATTTAACATCATTGTTTTTCTTTTCTCTAGGAACAATGAGCACTCCTTCAAAGGTGCACCTTGACTTTGTCAAACAACCCATAGGACAAAAACCGCCTTCCAAGCTCCCGGGAATAGGTCCTGTTATTGAAACAAACCTGAAAGGCGCAGGAATTACCCGAGCATATCACATTCTTGGCATGTTTCTTTACCTCGATAAAGATCTCGCAGCGTTCACCTCCTGGCTGAAACGCTTCGGAGCGAATGGGGGCCATTGCCAAGCGTGTTTCAACGCCTTGATCGAATGGTACCAAAATCACTTGGCCTGACAATTAGAATAATCTGTAGATCTGTAATTGCAACGCCTTCATACTATTTACATTGAGTTCGTAATGTCGATGGTGTTAGCTCTACCTTGAGAATAAAACTAGTGATGTAAACATCTCTGAATAAGTGACTCATCCTTTAATGATCAAGCAGGGAGTCTATTGCAAATCTCCTCAGCTGAGTCTGCCTAAAAAGGTACCTGTCTTCCTCCCAAGAATGCGTACGTTATGTATGCTGAAAAGAATTTTACTTGTTTAATAACAGATACGTGATCCGTGCAAAGCGCCTTTTATTTTCGAAACTGCTAGTGGCCAGTACATATAAGACTGACACAGACTATAGCTAGTGTTATTTACGATGGTAATGGCAACGAGTTGAGTCTATAGTTCAGTGATTGTTCAAGAACAGACGGACCTCCATACGAACTCAACTTTGATCCAGATGCCCGCACCTAAATTTTTTCTTCGGCTAAATTCAGCATTTAACACTCGCTAAATGTTGTGTTATTTTCAAATTCAGTACGTCACAATCAGTTGATTTTAGAGTAAAGTATTCCTCAGTCACAGCCTGCGGAAAATTTCAAACATTTTGGACGAGCCAGCTTCGTCGGTGAGATTATTTTTGAAAGCACCGAGTTGTGCACAGGAGAAACGGAACACGTTCCTATTTAGAACCAGACTAAGGTAATTGTTTATTATTTCGCGCACAGGATTTTATTTAATCAACATGAAATTAATAGGTGATAGAAAAGCAACTGGATGGATGGAGTTAGAGTTATCGTCTTATCTCTCGCAAAAGCGAGTGTATAGCTGCTTTGTGGCTCGTTTATGGATGGAAATGTTGAGTACATATGTTAGAGGGCCATAAGTACCTCTTTTTCCATCAAAGGTAATATTCAAATGTAAAAGCACTGGAATTTCCATATCATTCATTTTTACCTCTGTTACTTGGTCTCCGAGGTTAATAAGCTAACCAGAGGAGTTTAATGAGGACCTTTTCTTTAGAAGTGGCTCGAATTATTAAGAAGTATAACAAGGTCTACAGTGAATCACGCGCACGGTTATTGTTGTGGGAGAGCGAGTATTCCAGCAGAGGACGAATGAGTGTTGTTTCCCTGAGACCCTCACGCTGAAGGGAAAATTCGTGATGGAGTGGAAACAAAACTCATTCTTTCACCTGGGGCCGGGTGTTTTCAAGTCAGAAATAGACCAAATTATATGCAGGTGTCACCTTACAACTTGGACTAACGTTTCGTTCAAACTATGATCTTTGCAAAAGTCCCTCTACGTTTTCATGGTGTTATCGCTTGCCTAGACAGTAGATTTCGAGTTTTTGATTCAGGGTCAAAAGTTGCTGATTTTCTTCTTCAGTTTTTGCACAAAAAATGTTTTCTTGACCCGATTTGCCGTGGTTTCAACTCGCATTACCTGATCACGTGCGAGTCCAAAGTGCAAGTTTTTGTTCCTCGGGAAGTTAGTGGGTTTTGACTCAAGAAACGTATAAATTGAATCACGAGCGTTGAATAATTCAGATTATTGAGAGAGCGCCTGTATACCTAACTATTATCTGCCTTGTTTACTGCAAAGTAACGACGAACAAAAAAATATCGTTTAGGTAAGCGCTTAATTCTGAGTCTGACTTATTAGGACGGTATCCTCTGAGAGTTTCCCTCGTAACGTTTATTTTATCAACTTGAAGATGGATGATTTTCACTATGGCTTACTAATGACCGTTGAAAAATTTTCGCGCAATAGATAGTGACGTTTAAGGTCGTTCAACCGTTTTTAAGTCGATTAATATTCTTATGCACTCGAATCGTGGCTTCCCAGGTACTTTGCATAGCCTGCAGGAATGATATTGATATCTGACATTAAACAAGCTCAATAATTTCGCTGCGAGTTGAACGATAGACAAGGTTTTTGCATGCCATGAAAATTACCGCAACCCGAAATTGGAAGCTAGCCATTTAGATGACGTGTTCGTTGGTAGCTAGATATTCTTTTTCACTCACAACTAGAAAGTTCAGTGGCACACTGTGCATGGGAACAAGATTCTGGTATGGGAAATTTCCCGGAAATTACGATGACGTGTTTTGCGTCAGAGCATGTTTATCATGACGGGATCCAAGAAGCAAATTCGAGTCTGAGAGTAAACTTTGAGAGATTATCGGGAACGATCTAGAGAAAACACTAAATTTTATGTCAGTTTGAGCTTTACTAATTTGATCCCTCAGGGTGGATATTGTGATATTTACGAGAAAAAGAAAGGAAAAAACTTACCGTCGTGACTACTTTTCCAGGTGGGAACATATTTCTTTCGCTTAGAAAAGACTGCTATCATGGCGCCAAATTATTCGCCAATTACATCTGATTAAATCTGCCTTTTTCTGCATTTTTCTGCGATGGAGACGAGGAATCAAGTTTGGAAGACACTTCTACATTCCTAGTCTTGCTTTCAGAATGAATCAAAAGTTATTCCGCACATCTTTTCGTGCAGATAATGCAGTCAGCAGAATCAGTTATCTTATCAGCCCATCCACTTTTGGAATTTTTAGGAATCAGAAAACTATTATTCCCTATACAACTCAAAAATCAAAACGGAAACAGACCGATGTAATTAGCGATCGTCTGCAAAGCTAAACTCGTGGAATCAGAAGTCATGCCAGTTTAGCTCTGGTTTCCCAAGGATGGGAAGAGACTCATTTCTTGTATAAAGTGGCTAACATCTTTAGGTCCGTCATTGTCGCGTCGATATCTAAGAACGTTCGTAAGAAAGAAAATGAGGGTAAGTCAGTTTAAATCATTCATTTCTTTTCATTTTTCTGCAACTAAGGGAGATAAGAAACAGACAGAACAGTCTGAGAGCTAGTTTGCTCGACGAACCTCGACAATCTCAGCTGGAATTCTTTGGGTCTTTTTAAGGTATGTATGTTCTGTTGTTCACTGAAATCGCTTTTAAAGTGCTCATTTACACACTTTTATATGAAAAGAGAAACTATACACGCATATGACTGATTCTAATTTGAGATCTATAGGAAGATCTAATATCTATTTGCACAAATATCATGAAAATATTTAAGCAATGGAATATTGATCGATTTGTCGCCGAAAATCATTTAACGGTGTACTATTATCTGCCTTGTTTACTGCGAAGTAACAAAGAACAAAAACATATCGTTTAAGTGAGCGCTTAATTCTGAGTCTGCATTATTAGGACGGTATCCTCTGGGAGTTTTCCTCGTAACGTTTATTTTATCAACTTGAAGATGGATAATTTACACTGTGGCACCAATGACCGTCGACAAATTTTTGCGCAATAAATAGTGACGTTTAAGAACCGTTTTTAAGTCGATTAATATTCCTATGCACTTGAACCCTGGCTTCGAAGGTACTTTTCATAGCCTGCAGGAATGATATTCATATCTGACATTAAACAAGTTCATTATTTTCGCGGCGAGCTAAACGATAGACATGTTTTTGCATGCCATGAAAATTATCGCAACCCGGAATTTGGAAGCCAGCTATTTAGATAACGTGTCCGGTAGTAGATAGATATTTGCGCCTTGGGTCAATTCAGAAGACTTTTTTATTTTTTTTTATTCACAAAAATAAAGGCACAGACGAAGAGAGAAACTGAATAGCGAGGCACAGAAGAAACTTTAAAAACTCAAAAATAGAAGAACGGTAAGTTTCTTAAAAATAACTGTGGTTCTGCTTCGGTACGATAACTTTGTTTCATCAACTGAGTTGATAATGTAAATTGGCCACCGTAAAAAGTTTATGAAGCTGATGTTTCCAACGTTAGCCCTTGGTCAGAGTTTTGACGAGTTTGTTAGGATTCTTGGTGAGCATCGATCTTAAAGAACTAATTGATACAAAAGCGCGTTAAATTAGAAAATCATTCAACGACAAAATTGTAATCATTTTTTAAAAGCAGCTCACGCGCTGTGTGAGGTGGCGTGGTTGAACATTGTTCATTTTCATTCTGTATCTTCATTTTCGTTAACAATTGCGGATAAAGCACACGCCAAATTTCACGAATATTGAAAAGATGTATGTAATGGAAATTAGTGATCCTTTTGTAGAATAAGATACTTATTTCCCGCTTGTCTTTTTTTCAGAAAAATGATGATGATCGCGAGTCAATACTTTGCGGGCGGAATGCCCGTAGGAAACATCCCAGGAATTAGTTTCGCTTATGAACAGCGTTTAAATAACGTAGGGATCTACAACGCAAATCAGTTGTTTGTACAATACCATCTACTGCAACAGAATTATGCAGCTTTTACTGGTTGGCTGGTAAACACATGTGGAGCAACTACTCCTCATGCCAACCTGTGTTTCAATGCCATCCAAGCTCAATACGGCCAATACGTCTTCCGACGATTTCCTCAATTGACTTGAACTATGATTTTACAGATGAAGTGGTTTGCTCTTTAGAGCTTATACGCACAGAGATAATTTTGTAAATTTAGTAGTTGTATACTTCAAAATAAAGGGATTTGATACAAACACTTTAAATTTACTGTGTTCTTACTTATAGTTGAGGTGGGGGCTATTTAAAATCTTTGCCATAAGGAGTTGAAAAGGTTTTTTTTCATGTTAAATGGGATGGAGAGCCTTTAGGAAGAGGTAAAATGTAATAAATGCGCACTAGTAGCATAGTTAAATCTCAAATATGTAAGCCAGCTATCCATGCCTTGAATTATTCTGTGGCCTTGAAAGATCTCAGGTGGTCAATGAATCTTAGAGACGTCTTTCAAATTATTTTGCGCTTCGGTAAACCATTTGTGGACTATAACCCACTGAATTTTTAAAATAAACCTTTTCCATATGACAAAGGTGATACCTGATGGCGTATGAAACTAATATTGTTCCTGCTAGTATAGATTACTTCCATACCTAACTTTCCTAGCCCCTTTCGCGGACTCACATGTCTGGATGTGTTGCATACCTGTAATCGACCCAGTCGCTTCGCATTTTGTCACATGGCGATTTTCCAACATGGCGGACGCAGGTAGTGAAAACATGTTGGAAGCAAATGTTGAACAACAACTCTCAAGGATCGTGAAAGGTAAAGAAATTTTAGTGCGCGTGTCTTGCTTTCCATTATTTTTGATAATCTAAATATATTTCTTGCAGATGTACGCTCCGGAAACCTCGATCTTGTTACTTTTGTGGAAAAACTAGGGTTAGTAAGCTGTTAACCTTAATTATTTTTCGAGGTTATGCAATCTGCCATACCAAGATACAGCAACTTTTGCCAGATCGTGAATTTTTGAAATAAAAAACTCAGAATGTGAAGGATCCCTTGTTTCTCAGTTTTTAAAGAACGCTTATCACGATGCCGTCATCTTGCGCAAGTGTGCCCGAGGAAAATTCGATTTTTTAAGGCGCGCAGAATTCGAAAGTATTCGAGGATTGACATGTGTTATTTTCAATATTAATATGGCCTGGTAGAGTCAATTTAATTTCAAGGCACTCAACCACTTACCAGTATTATTCATAATGGTTACAGAACTGGGTTGAGTGCAATCATACATGACCAGGCAACTGCGCGCGAGGTGGTGATCGCATTCGATCACATACAAAATTGGGCGACATAAAGTCCTGTCTTCAATGAATCAAAAGAATGACTTCATTTAATATCGGAAATAGGCATTTGTGTAATGTAATCATAAAACATAACTGGTGACTTTTAACAGTTAAGTTTTGCATAAACACATGATGAACCCAAAAGTCTGTGTCACAGCATGTGAAAATGATGTGTACTGTTTAGTTACACAACATGCAAGAGGCCTACACTTGAATGAAAACAAGATTTTACACTGTCCAATCACAAGCATGATGCATACACACTCCAATTATTGCTCAAACCAGGCTGCTGATAACCAAACACAACTAATAATTTTGTAACAGTTTTAATTTACATGTATTTGTCTATATATGTACAGGCCACAGTTGACCAGTACTGAGGTGGATAAGAGATGTCATGGTGTGCGGTTGTTGTCTGAAGTCTTGCATCGCCTTGTTGGGTTTCGGTTTAAAGAAAAAGAAGGTTGTTACAATTTAGTCTTTAACATATGAGCTTTTTGTTGGCTCTTTGCATAAAGTTGCCTTTTACTAGTGTTGATTTTGCTCTATTAATATACAGTAGTTGTAGTGATACTGTATGTATATAATGATTGATGTTCTGGTTGGGGTTGTTTGAAGGTTGGTTAATGCTGTCCGTCAGATTAATCTGTATCCAGTGGATGATGCTATATGTTCTGCTATCACTTATCTGCTGGTTAGCGATTCATCCATTGGATAGTGTTATCCACCCTTTATTCAACTGGGCCCTGGTCTGGCCAGACTTTTCCGAACAATGTAAAGTTCTCTCATTAACTGTACCCAAGAGAAAAGTGAACTTTGTATTCATTAAGCTATATGTGCTTTCAAGGGAGAGCTGGGTGGTTTAGAAGTAGAGCTTACTCTTTCTGTTTGGGATGAGAAGGGATTGCAATCAGAGGTAAGTCCTCTGACAGCAAATATAGAAATTATGAATTGAAATTAAGCTTGAATATAGAAATGGTTTACAATCTAAACTCAGATCAGATTTTCTTGCTCCACCTGTCATAAAAATTCAAGGAAAATAGATGAGAGTGACAGAGGTGCCTATACAGTCTATGGGAATAGCATGTGGCCATGTTCACTGAGAGCACTACCATCCTCCCATCAGACACTGTTGCATGAAGGATCTCAGTTTGAAAATCAAAAATATTTAGCCAAAGGGAGGAGGAATCACACCTTGGTAAAAGGTTGGGGGGGGGAACACTAGTGATAAGAACTGACATTAAATAGAGCACTGTAAAAACTTAATTCTTGAGGCATGAGAGAATTCAGGGACCATCTTGCCACAGGCCAGCATTGCCACCTGCATTACATTCAGCAATACTATCTGACAATGAGTCTCATGAGTTAATTAAATTTCCTTCTTTGTTTATTTTTTCAGTGACATTGTTTTGTGAATTTCTGTGTGATCGACTCAAGGATCACTATACCATCATCCCTCATGCCCTGTTTGGTATTCTTGCTCTGGTATGTGGACTCTGTTGATGAAATATGTTCCTCGTAAATCTCACAACCCAATAAGTTCATATACCTTTCCCAACAAACTGATCAGAAATTCTCTATGATTTTGCCGGGCTTGGCCTGTTGATGTGGTATAATTACATTAACTCTTTCCCTCATGAGATCTCAGAGTTTTCAGTGCTTTTAGAGTAGCAAAGTTTTTTTGCCTCCCCCCCTCCCCTCCCCCTTTCTTTTTTCAATCAGCACTTTGGTAGCAATATTATTGGCTGTGAATTCTTCACTCTATGGATGGACCATCTTTAGATAGTTATTTATGAAATGTGCCTAATAGCAATTGCTTCATTTTCTTGATTTAGATCACTAATCAAGATGTCACTGATGCAGAGTGTTTAAAACTTATTCAGACATTGTTCAAAGAAGTCCATGTCCAGGTGAGGTTTTGAATACATTTAAGGCATGGATTGATAACATGGTAGTTAGGTTCATTGTCACTTGCTGCCCTTTTGATGTCCATTAAAAATTTAAGGAAGCTATACTGGAAGATTTTAGAATCTTTTTCTGGCATCAATTTAGATGACAATTTATTTCATGTCAGTTTGTGTTCCTCATCTAAAGAGGGGCAAGATTGATTGAATTTGAAATGAACAATGCTTCTGAAGATACCCCTGTGACAAAAATTGTCAAAATACCTGTACCTCTTAGTCTAGGAAATCTCACTTAATTTATCACTTGAAGCCATTTAATATTATTGTGACATATTTCATATGCATCACTAGGTATGCAGCCCTTTAGGGCTTACATGTTTAGGGTTGTATGACCTGTACTGAGTAGGCAGCTGAATTGAATTATACTTGTGAACCAAGCATGGCATATTGCTTCCCAACACGCACTTGTATAGCTTACCCCAGACTTCCCCCCCAAAAAACTTGGAATTTGAAACTCCCTGAGTTTTGATTTCTAGCATTCTTGGACATAAATGAAGGACTTTTTTTTCAAGCCACTGATGTAAGAATCAGTTCAGAAATTTGTATTTTCTGTCTTTGATCACAATTCAGAAATTAGCCAATGCAAAATGGTCTGGTGGTCTGCAGGTTTTGCACTTACCATTTTCTTAATGGTAACCCTGCATGTTTGTGGCTTAATACCATTTTTCATGGGCATTTTCTGTGAGAAATTGAACCAAAATCTGCTTTAATTTCCAGTCTCTTCTAAAGGAAGGAAGACTGACTGCATTCAATCTGTTCGCAGTTGTGTTAAATAAACATCTTCAAGGTAAGCTTTTTATCCTTAAGTTTAAGTCCCTGCTCCAATAGAATGTAACTAGTAATGTAGTGTTCAGAATTGTTATTCCAACAACTCCCTTTTTTATTACAAACAACCAGTATTAAGTAAATGATAAAAGACAGCCAATCAAAACTGACTTTTCCATAACATGGATTCCCACTGTTCCATATTTTACACAATATGTGATGAATTATGGACATAAACTTTCTTACAGTGATACTTTACTGTATTTGGAGTTAACAGTTTGGCTGATGAAGTTGATGTTGTTGTTTTTTTGATCCAACTTACATTAAACTCACATTGTTCACTGTGTGTCCTTAATCACAGCTCTAAAAAGTATTGGAAATGATTTTGTGTTTGGTTTCATCCAAGCTATGGATGGAGAAAAGGTCAGTAGAGAAGTTTTCATTCTGTGTTGGTTGGGCTTAACCCTTTAACTCCCATGAGTGACCAAGACAGAATTTCTCCTTACAATATCAATCGAATATCAAACAGATAAGTGATGAGAATAAAGAAAAATATCAATTTGGCGATAATTAGTTGATCCAATACTCAATTCTCTGAACCAACATTATAAGAATTGTATGATTGACTGTCAGAAGAATTACAAATTTGGTCTGGGAGTTAAAGGGTTAAGAACCTGTTGCATTCATGACTACCTTAGAACAAAGAAATTGAAGAAGTCATATGAGTGATAAAGCCAGCAAAAATAATAGGGAAAAATCTAAGGAAAACTTCACAGGTTCTTATCTTTAGGTAAAGCCAAGTCCCTTATCTTCTCTGCAGAGTTTAGAAGGAAGACGTTGGAAGAAAATGATTCATTTGAATATGCCTCATAATAGATTTTAAGTTATCATTGAAGTTACTTTAAATAATAGGGCACATAACATGAAGAACCACTTTGAGTGAAATGTTGGAAAACTTTCTGATAAGCAATAAGACAAGATGTTTCAAGGTGGATTGATCAAAATAATTTACTTTGGAATTTACTTTAAACAAGTTTTGGTTTCATTTATATTTACAATCATGTAGTTACTTTCCAAGGTTTTTCAATTTATTGGTAAGCTTTCTAGGATAAGTTTATTTTCAGTATATTTTACAAATTATATAAATTGAAAAAACAGGGAAGCAAGAAGACTTAGCTATAAGCTGTAACATTTATAATTATATCACTTGTAGTATTAAACTCATCAAATTTCTTGTACATTATGAAATTTATTTCAATTCGTCACAGGACCCAAAAAATTTACTCCTGGTCTTTGAGCTGGTCAGAGTCATCATCAGCAACTTTTCAATAGGTAAATATCACTGTATGGTTCTTAGTGATTGGTTTATTACCCTTGTAATACAAATTTGGCTGAGCTGGTTGTGTTGGAAACCTCCCTTTTCCCATAATCCTTGCCTTAAAAAAAAGCAGCTAAATACATTTCAAAATGATGAGAAGAAATCAGTCAGATTTATCTGTGTCCCTTTCTTTCTAACTTTATAAGAACCTTCTTGAACTACTGAAAATGGTCTGATATGTTGTGTTTAGATCAATGAAGACTTGTCTAGATTGTGTAAAAATTTTAATCTTCTGGGGACAAGTCTTTATCAGAAATTCTTGGAATGTCCAGCTGTAATTGGCAAACTGTCTGGGAAGTCTGGTAAAATGCTGTGGGGGTACCCTTGGGATAGATCAGCATCCCATCCAGGGGGGAGAGGGGAGTAGTGATACTCCTAGTCACTTCATGCTACTCGGATGCTGGTATAAGCTCTGGATGGGTGGGCCACTAGGCTTGAGTGCAGAATTTGCTTTTGCCAGCCCTTAATTGGGTCCAGCCCTTAATTTCACAGTAATGATAGATGGCAGATGAAGAATAGTACGCATCTCAACCAATCAGTGGCCAACTTTGAAATATATTTTCAGTGGCTAATAATAAGTTGCAACTTTATGATATGCAATCTTCTTATTTCATAATTGTTATACATAATAACATAACTGAAATGATATACCGTAATTGCAGATTCAACATGGTGTTCTGATATTGTGTGAATAATTTCAGATTTATTTGCTGAGGATCTGTTTGAAGTGACATCTTGTTATTTCCCAATTGATTTCACTCCAGTAAGTACATCTATTTGATCTTGATCCAAATTTCCTGGACATAAACATGGTAAACCTGTGCCTTTTTTGCTTTGGACAAGACAGCATACTCTGACACACAGCACACATACTTAACTTTAACTGTTGGCAAACTATAAGATGAAGAGAACTTGAGGTAAAAAAGATCATCACCATACATGTCAAATTACATTCAATTCCCATCTTTTTCAAACTAAATGCATGCTGTACTGTACATTACAGTTTTGGTTCTTTGGCTGTTTGGATTCAATTGTTTGGAGATTTCTTGTGGTAAACTGGATGAAATCAATGGATATGGCATCAAGTTTTCATTATAACTAATATGTTTCAAAGCTCAAAAGAAAGCCAAACTATTGAGTGGCTATCATAGTGGACCATTATGATATTTTAAAAGTTGTATAATGTATTGAAAATTCAATTCATATGTTTTTAGTTAAGATACAGCTCATACTGAGGTTGTAAAAAAATTTTGTTCAGAGTTTCTCAAACCAGTCAATGATAAACTTTCTTGTTATTGTAAAAGTCACTCTTTTATTCACAAGAAGTATTAATTAAGCACCAATTTTGGCTGTAGTGGGTAAAGAGGACAGCAAATAACACTTTACATATAATCTTCTCAGCCTTCAGATGATCCATATGGAATCAAAAAAGATGATTTGGTGATGAGTTTGCGTAAGTGTCTTGCTGCTACAAATCAGTTTGCCCCGGTGAGTTAATGTTATTTGAACATTTCAGTTAGTCGTATATAATAATTTGACAGTGAATTCAGCAGGTAATGATGTGCTCATCTGGAAACAAGTGGCCAACAGGGTATGATGGAATAGTGTCACGTCAAATGACTTAGGGTTACGTGTGCTATAAAATCATTTTTGATATCCAAACTTGTTCAAAGAATTGAACTGGTAGGCTCTACACATTGACAGGGTCAGATTGGACAGAAGTTGGATGGTTCTGCCTCTCAGTTCTGACAAATGGAGAGTAGCCTTGGACTCTGATATGATTTAGGTCAATTAAGGCAACATTTGATATATACAAACTACTGCAGAACTACTTAAATGCTGCAATTGATATTTCACGTCTTCCAAACCTGTATCAAGTTTATTACAACTTGTCTGGTGTACTGACAGTAGTAAGAAGTACAAAAGGTGAAATAATTTATATCTCAATTGTGCAATAGTTCTGCTTTCCACTTCTTATGGAGAAGCTATCATCTGATATCACTGATGCTAAGATTGACTCCTTATTGACCCTGGTAAGTCTCTCATTCTGTCACACAACCTGGAATAATCTCACTGTACTCATTTTGATTTGTATTTTGTGGTGTAAATCGGTTATGTTTTTTAACCCTGAACACCCTAACATCCAAATGCATATTCTCCATAGTGTTCTGTATACATTTCCCAAGGAACTGACAAGAGAGTTTGTCTAACAATCAAGAGCTTTTTTAGTTGTTGATCGTTTTCTTTATTCTCATGACCTTAATGTTTGATCCAGGAGTGACACTATAGGGAGAAATTAGATGTGGAGTCACTCTTAGGGGTTAAAGGGTTCAATGAATGTCTAAACCATTAACTCATTATTTTTTTTCAATCTCATAGTCATCTTGCTTGGAAGAGTATCATAGCAATTATTTGGTTGAGCACTTGGAGCCTCTTTGGACAAGTATTAAAAGTGCAGTAAGTTTTTTAGGTATATCTTTTCAATGGATACATTTTGGACAATTAGTTAAAATTTAATGTCTTCTTTTTTTGTTAACCAGGTTTTCCATGTGGGAAATCCTGTGTTAGAGGTAAGTTTAAACATACCATGTATGTATTGATGTTATTACTGTACAGACCTGGGATGAAAATATTGTTTATCAGTTTTGTTGTAATGTGTTAACCCTTTACACCCTAGCATCAGTATGCACATTCTCCATACTGTTCTCTTTGCATTTCCTAAGGCATTGTCAAGGAGAATTTGTTTAACAATCAAGAGCTTCTTTAGTTGCTGATCATATCCTTTATTCTCACGACTTTCATGTACAATTCAGGGGTGATATTGTATGGAGAAATTAGATGCTAGTCTCTCTTAGGGGTCAAAGGGTTTATGAGTCTTTACATCTTTCATATAATCTGCTTGCACATATTCAGCTTGTTTTTTGACCAAATGAGGGCCTTGGTGTAAAATCAGGCTAGTAAGTAGGATTTAAGGACTTTCACTGTTGAAACTAGAGACTGAAACAGTGACATGAAAATTGAGAAGGACTGACTATTATGACAACTTCTTCAACTTCTTTATAATCTTACACCAGTTACATTATGCACTCTGTCAGTTACATTTATTTATTCACTCCTTTAGTAATGTTTTCAGTATCTCAATAACTTTGTAGGATGCTGCTCTGGCTGCAGTGACAAGCATTGTTAAAAACCTCTGTGGATCTATGGATGTAAGTCAATTTTTTTTTCTAAAAGACATTTTAATCTTTTGAATTCTTTCTTCATTACTTGTAGAAATTACAACAAATTGAAATTTGGAACTGTATGATAAAATCACTTACAGTGCATCACTTTTATTGCATATTGTCTTGGTTTGTTACTTTGATTATTAATTCAAGGCTTTTCTGCAGGAAAATACTAAGGAGAAATATGATGAGTTTCTAGAAATTATTCACAAGGGTAAGTCTCCTAAAGAAAAATATTACAGTAACTTAACAGTAAGATACTCAAAGTGTCATAAATGATAAACTATAGGGCAGTTATGATAGTTGACATTTGTTAATCTCAAAGGTCGATGATTGTTTAAATGTATAGCACTTAAGTTGACAGACTGTATTACTTAAAAATGATGTATAAAAGAATTTCAAATGTACAAAAAGAGGTGTTAGAAAATTACAAACATCAAAAAAATAAGTGTGAAAAAAAATTGAAAACATATTGTTGGAAATAAATCTAGTGAAAATCTTGCTTCACAATGCTTGTTTGTGGTTAGTATTTTCTTGCAAAAAAAAATTCATATCTGGCCTTCTTGTGAATAAGAAGAACTTGAGGATGCTCTTGTTTGGAATTCCCAGGTGTTACTTGTAAACTTTTTTTTTTTTTTTTTTCAGTTCAGTTAATACAAACCTGCAAAACGTTTTTAAAAGTTTCATATGGTATTTATAAAGTGCCTGAGGGTTAAAAGGAACCTTTTTTATGGACTGCCATGAAATCAAACCTTTATGGTATACACTTCGGGGAATTAAAGCACAATTAAAATTTGACAAATCGAAATGAGGGGTATCAAGACACTGAAAGAGGTGACAATGTTGTTGAAAGGGGCTTTCAAGAGAGCTTCTTTAAAGAAAGAAATTGTGAATTGAATTACAATTTTCATCTCAGATTGTGGTCATCTGACTGGTAGTGACGTTAAGCTGATGAGGCAGTGTGGAAGAATTTTACAGGCTGTGGCTCTAGCAACAGGTATTTAACCCTTTAACTACCAGAATTGATTACCATGTAACTTCTCCCTATAGTATTCCTACATCATGCGGCAAACTGGTAGTGAGAATACTCAAACTCATCAATTTACTACCTTGATTGAACAAATACCAAATTCTCACAACCAATTTACAAGGAAATGTGTAGTAGCTAGAGAGGTGAATTGCCAATCCGATTTTGGGAATGAAAGGGTTGACTTAAGAAGGAAGGAAAAAACTTCCAATAGAACCTCTAATGAGTTTAAGATGTTACAGACATCATACAGTGTGCAGTCATAGATATCTTGGTCTTAACTCAGATTTATATGATAAAATCAACTTGGATTTAGACTGCTACACACATGACTGAACAAGCCTTGTTACTCAATTTGCACCAATGAGGGCTCATGTTTTTTAACATTAGGAGTGTGTTGATTTTTTTAGCTCTTCACAAATTGAAGGTACAATGTAAATGGAAAAATTGTTGCTGAAAACACAATAATTATGAACAAGAACACAATATTCTGATATGTGTAGAGGTACATTGCTATTCTGCACAATAAGGTATAGCTTGGTCCAAACTTTGAACAATTGAAATGACAAGTCCTTTTTGTCACCTCCTCTATCAATCCTATGCAACCTGGCAAGAACATACTCTGGTAATGGCAGAAAGTTGAATTTGAGAATCATTGTTTACACCTGTAAAATAATTCATACTTATTTTAATTTGAATTAAGTCACAAAAGTTTGCATTTTTTGCCAGAAATAAAATCTGGATCAATTGGGATCAAAGAAAATTTTTTCTCAAATTGTAGGGAGAATTTAGAAGTGTTACACTAAAACTGCTTTGACCAGAAGTAAATTTGACATATTCAGTTGATGTTATGTTCATTTTCAGAGCCTGCTTGCCACAGAATTATTGACTGGACCTTTCCTCTGTTGCTGGAACAACTCACACAGGACATTGAGGTAAGTGAAGTGGAATTTACAGTAGTCCATGTTTATGTATTCTGTGTCTTTAGCAGCAAATGATTAAGCTTGACTTGGTCTGAGGTGTCTATGTTTAGTCTTATGAAAATGGGGCTATGAAACATATTTACTTTGCAAGGCTAGGTATTTGGGGTTTTTTTCAGGTCCAGTCTTTGAGAATGTATTTGTTGTAGTTAAAAAAAGATTTGATTTAAAAGTCATTTCAAATTTGAATGATTTGGATCTTTTCCTTGTTTGAATACTTTGGTGAATTACTAAGACAAATAAAGAGAGAATGCATAAAATTAGTTAAACTTCCTTTTGTGGGGGCCTAAATTACATTTCAAATTGTTATTATTAGTGTTGCTTGTTGTTTTTCCCAAATGTGAAAACTAAATGTTCTTTTCTACTGCTTTTATTTTATAATTTTAGGTATCTCATAAAAAGAACTTTATTCACATAATTACAAATCTTCTTAGAGCTGCCAAAACCTTTCACAGACATCCTGCTGGTAAGTGTGAGATGTGAATAAGAGACTGTCAAAAATGATGGTAATAATTTTGTTGCATTTGATGGGATTTTATTCTAGCAAGGTCATCGTATTGATTAAAATTAGCTTGTCATCCATTTATTTTCTTGTTTTAAAACTTTTTAAAACTAATTGTTTAATATGCAATTCCCTTTGTCTGGCATTGGCTATTGTGATATGATAAAGACAACTCAGATTATAACAGTCTACAGTAGTTCATTATAATCTGAACCACAACAATGATGTGATGTCTTTGAATGATGTTATAGAGGTAATTTAAAGAACTCATGTGATAAATTTGTCTCTGGTATAATATTTAACACCTAGTTTCTCTCTCAAGTTTTCATATACTATGTACAGCTGTTTTGACAAATGGAAATTTATTAAATCATGTTTTTAAGGAATCTTTTTTAGCTTGTGAAATAGTCATATGACTTGTGCAGTCATTCTTTGCATTATCACACAATGCTCCCCAAAGGAATATCTAGTGTAACTCCTGCAAAAGAAACAACCAGTGAAGGGAATTCATACTTTTTAATTGGCAAGTGTGGCATTAATTTTTGGAACTGTTTAAAATCCATGAACATTGAGAGATGTTATCTGATTCATTTTTTAATTTCCAGACAGCCCAGTGATCAAATACAAGGAGGCACTGTCTACTACATTATTTTCTTTCTTGGCAAATTGGAACTCAACTTTATGTTGTGTAACCGTGGAGTGTTTCATGGTTCTTGTTGAATTAGCAGGACTTTTGACAGAAAAAGAGGCAAGTTCAGAACAAACACCAGAGAATCCAACCATTAAACTGATAGATGGTTCTCTTCTACTTCCCTTTTCAATATTAATTGTTGATAAAAGAGTTGGATTAAACAGAAAAATTCTTTATGCATAATTCTCACTAAGAAAAAAAAACTTCTTCATAATATGATGGATGATAAATTACTTGTGCAAACCCTGCCTCTCTCACTAAATGCATTTACTCAGCTGTTTGGATCTGAGCCATTTGTTATGATTCTTGGCCAATTCACCAATAACTTATTGTCCACAAGACTGAAAGTATCAAATTAATTAAAATAGAACCTTGAAATAATTGTTGCCAAGGGGAATGAAATACCAGAAAGGGAAGAATGCATAAGAAATGAACAAGGAGCTGATGGAGAAAATTATGAATGGATTGCAAACAGCAAACTTAACAACCGTAGGCTAAATTTTTTTTAAATGGAGAGACCATGATAGTCTCAGCCTTTAAGGTTTAATTAGTGAAAACTTACTTTACATCTGACAGGTTCAGTTGCTTGTTGAGCATGTTACATCCATAGTACTTGGGAGCAAGGAAGCTTCTCTGAGGTATATTTTTTTTTCCAAAACACATGATAATCCAGTTATTTGCAGCATTTCCTCTATTACAACTGGAGGGCTTTATTTTTATTCTTTTACATGCATGAAAATAGCCTTTCCTGGCCCTCATGAAATGTGCAAAATTGACATCCAATAATTATCAATGTGCCCATAAAAATATCAATAAGCATACCCACCTTTATGAAAGAAGTCGATAAAATTGAGGCAATGAGTTGTATGTAGCGTTGGTAATTTTTCTGTTGATTGTAAATTTGTTTTATAAAAAAAGTGTTATTCATTTTTTTCATGAGCATAAGAAAAAGAAAGAAAAATTAAGTCCCCTAAAGGAATTGAACCTAAGAGCATCACTACAATCCTCAACCACTGAGTTCCAAGGTTCATTTTTACTTTGGGGTGAGCAAAGCCACCAAGTATGGGCTGTGATTATGAAGAGCATTTAAAAATGCCTTGCCTCCTGCCTTCCAATTATTCATTTGGTTTTATGAACTGTAGAAATATCTTTCTCTATTGTTTTCAGCCATATTAGCTCTGCTGCATTGTCACAGTTATCCAGGAATTATCCTGCCATCATCATTTCCACTGTGCTACCCCTGCTGGAGATGCATCTTAAAGCAGGTAATGTTCCAAAACTAAATTTAATTTGTTATTGACAGAAACTGCAATTAATCCCAAAGTTATTGTGTACATGTCTGCAAAAGGAAGGGTGGAGTAATTATCTTAATGACAGCTACTGTTACATAACAGAGAAACTTATCACCTATTGCTTCCTTAGGATTTTAAGAGAGACTTTGAAAAGCACAGATTTACTGCTTTTTAGGGGTGGAATTTTTAGTCAAATGAAGAAGTGCGTTTATCAGTTTATCAGAGGCTTTTGTTACCACAGCTACTATCCCCTGTTTCATGTGGGAAGTCGAGTAATTTGGAATATGGAAGATCTAGAAGTCTATCAGATGTCAGTTACCACATTTTTCATGCATCCTTTCACACAAATGCTTATTATTCTTTGTTAGAGGAAGGGTCAGCTATGGATATTGAAAACAATCAGCCCCTGACCACCCCTGTCAGTCACCAGTGTGTCCTTAATACTCTGGGTGCTTTGTGCATGCATGAGTCAATCATTCATGAAGTGATCCCACGGCTTATTGAACATGTGCAGTGCTTGTGTAATGGTGAGTGTCTGGAAAAAGATATTTTACCTGCATGGCACATTGATTAAATCAGACTTGGTGCCCTTGCTTTGGCCTAATGCATTCAACATCCCCCCCCCCCCCTTCACAAACCCATCAGGCATTTGAGCTTTTGAAGATTGGTTCATTCAAATTCCTGTCCCTCTTGGCCTAAATTGCATTCAAATGCTGTACCCAATTGCTGAATTAAATGGTGAGATAGCCCTTCCAAAGAACAAATGTATTAAATTTATTCTTCCATATTGAAGAAAACAGCACTTCTATTCCACTTGAAGGAATTAATACTTCCAGTTCAAATTCCTCAGCTCCGGGAAGGCCTTTTGTGTCAAATTTCCCACACCCAAGGAATAGACAATGGTCAAATGCCCAGGGTCACCTGGGTGAGGATGTTGAAGCTTTGAATTGATTGAGACTTTATCTGTTACAAAACAAGCTCTCTCTGAGGTCCATATTTGTGGAATCATCTTCACTGCCTAATCAGGGCTCTTGTCATTTGATACTGTCTGTTTCTCATCTGTCACAATCTACTTCCCACCTTATTTGTGACTGAACAACTTTTTAGCTTAAGGGGCAGGTGTTCTTGAACCATCCTACACCACCTTTTTTTAAAATCTGTGTCACAATTTACTCATTTTCAAAATGTGGCCTACATTTTTCAAGTGTGTAATTGAGAATCTGTGTCTACCCTCACCTACCTCAACTATTGTTGAGGTTGTAGATTTTTGGTGAATTTATTCCTTTTTGGTGGTAGTTTTTCCTTACATACGATTATTTCATGGTGTCAGTCACCTTAAAATGTTCTCTTCAATCCCACAAATTTCCTTGTGTATCTTCTCTTAACTCCTCCTAAAGGAGATGACATTGTAATCACAGGTAGTCTTTCCTCAGAGCATTGTTTGGGGCTTGAATCAAAAACTTCAAGCTTCAATAGTATTATATTTTGTGAATCAGTGCCATCAGTGTCACTCTTGCTATTGTTTCTGTGTATGGATTTATGTTTTATAAGCTTATTTTAAGAGAACTTTAAACTTTCTTCAGAAATGAATTCTCACAAAGACTTTCAGTCCCAAGTTTGTGCAGTCTTTCAGTGTATTTTGAATATTGTAGAAGGTATGTATTTTTTTACTTTGTTATGGTTTTGTTTAGTTATTTGTACAGGACTCAAAAGTGGCACAAAACGAGAGCTCAAAACTAGTAGTCCACTTTCAGGGGCTGCCATCTTACCCAGTTCCTACTTTTTGCCTGATATTTATTGTCTTTTCCTTTAATCTTTGATTGTCTCCCTGAGTACACATAGAAATTAAAGAAAATTATTTCATGATATCAATGTAGAAACATGGAAGATCTTCCCAAAAAATGTAAAATGTCTCTGTGGGAGCGTCAAGGCTAGCACATGTAGAACAAGGACATATTTCAATTTTTTGTTGTAAAACCAAAGGAACATCACAGCCAACCAGTTCACAAGGAGCATGAGAGATCAAAAAAGATAAAAAAAACCAAAATGCTTTAACCCTCTAACCCCTAAGAGAGACTAGCATCTAATTTCTCCTCACAATATCACCCCTGAATTGCACATTAAGGTCTTGAGAATTAAGGAAATGGTCACCAACTAAAGAGACTCCTGATTGTTAAACAAATTCTCCTTGTCAGCACCTTAGGATATGTATAGAGAACAGTATGGAGAATATGCATACTGATGTTAGGGTGTAAAGGGTTAAGTGAGATAATGTGAGTGACCATAAGTGAGAGAATGTGAGCTGCTTTTGGTTTTAGTTTTGCATCTGATTGGCTGAAAAAGAGGTGTAAGTCTCTTTGATCAATCATGGAGTATCTGAGGGCTGTATTATCATGGATTGCTTTTGAACTACCAATTAACCCTTTAACTCCCATGAGTGATCAAGTCAGAATTTCTCCTTCCCATATCAATATAATATCAACCAGATGAGTTATGAGAATAAAGAAAAATATCACTTTGGGGATAATTGCTTGGTCCAATACTAAATTCTCTAAACTATAACATTATAAGAATTGTATGGTTGACAGTAAGGAGAATGGCAAATTTGATCTGGGAGTTAAAGGGATAAGGATGTTGTGGTCGTTGCAAAAAAAATTATTTTATTTGATCTGTTGCATTAACAAATATTTTCAACTCCATCTGACCGTAAATGGATATGATTGGTTTGGTATTTTGAAGATGTTTGTATGTAATCTGTTTGATAATAATTATTGTTTAATTTATCAGGATCAATTCAGAAGGGAATCACTTCAGCTGCATACTTCAAACAATCTCTTGTTCCTGACATTATGAAGATTGTTCTCAAATCAGCTTTGAGTGGTAATTGTTGATGCTGATATTTTGAATTCCTAAAAGTTCACTGATGATGTGGAGTTGTTAGTCATGTTATCTTGTAATCACAGCCAGTGGAATCCAAATATAGTAAAAAGAAAATAGTTGATTATTTTCATTCAGCTAGAAATTCTACTGATACTCCATTATAATTTAATTTTCAATTCTAAACAAATCCTCTTCTAGCTGGGATTATAAGAGCGCATAGACCTATCCTACTCATGGGTTTGAAAACATGTAAACCATTACGAATTATATTTCCTGGAATTCTTTGCCTTTGGAAACCTTTTTAATTTCCCTCAGATTTTTTACACAGGACTGACACACTTCATGCCCAATTTTATAAAAATTGGGTTAATGAAATACTGTTGCTTAAGCCTGTTTCTCATCCTTAAATTTCCACACTTTTTTTGTTGCAGTTGGGAATAGAAAGCCTTAATCACAGTTACATTTTCTGTGATTCAGCTGGTTGACATCAGTAATGTTCAATAGTGTGTGTTTTACATGGTACTCTCTAACATTTATCTGTTGTTTGGCTTGCAGATTCTAAGGAGAGAGCCATTTCAAAGGATGTTTTAGACACCATTGCTGCCATTTTAAGGACTGTGACTAGTAACTTGGACATCGAGTAGGTTTTTATTTAAATCTCGCCTCCTATATTTTCTTCCTTTTGAGTAGATACTACTCCTAACTTGTTCAGTTTTACATAGTTGTAATTTTACAGTCCGCATGCTTGAGATGAGAATTGTTCCAAAGTCTTGCACACCTACATTAAAATGGTTTGGTAACTGCGGTTTTTGGTGCGCATCATTTGAAATAGAAGTGATGATGTATGAACCCAAATCAAAGAAACTGAATGAATTTTTTTGCTCTCCAGTTATCAAGGGTTGTGAAGTATTGCGCTTTAAAATTTGAATTAAAAACTCCTCCATTGATGCGATGTGCATGAAAAAAGTAATTTATTTATACAAACTTTTCCCTCACACAGAAGGGCTCAATAGAGCTGATTTAGATTGTCTAGTACTTTCAATTTTGCCTCTATCATTTGTTATTGTTGTTGATGTTGTTATTGACATCATCTTGTTCTGCGTTTTAGTCTTCTTAATTTGTTTATTTTTCACAGAGCGGCACGTAATCTTCTCGAAGATTTTGTTGGAATATATCTGGATGGAAACTCCTCCTTTCTCCAAGAAACAGTTGATAAAAAATGTTTGCAATTTGAGGTAAACATTTCGTTCATGTTATCAATATGTAAACATGAGATTTGTACATTAATTATGTGGAAAGCAATCTGCGTAGGCTACATTTATATATATAAGTTATATATATATATATATATATATAATTTCATCTATTTATTTATTTATTTTCAGTCCACATCACCATGGGAACAAACTCAACTTGTATCACTGCTAACAGCCACCTTATGCTCTGCAAGACGGGAGGTTGGTTAGCTTTACATCACTCTATCGCAGTCTTGTGCAACGCAAATTTCAATTCAGTGTTGTATGTAATCTGGGCCAGCATTATTCACCCCATCCTCCTAGCTAACACGGTCCACAATGATAACAGTTCAATAACTGAAGTGTTTAGTCTCTCTTAAGTGTTTCCGATTATTATTATCGTTATTACTTTAATTGTAATTATTATATACCACACAAGTGAAAAGTGCTTTTCGTGCGCGCCGATTGGCCAGTTCGGAAGTGAATAGCAAGTACTGTTCACCTCCGAGCAGCCAAAGAGACAAAACCACGCGTTAAGACCTAAATTTCCGACACCACTTTCCGGTATATTGAGATAAATAAACTAAATTTTTGGTATCTGTGTGGTATATACTAAAACAAGTATTCACCCAGTGTCAGTTTAAGTGGAGGATATTTACCGAGCCGCTTTGCAGCTCGGTAAATATACACCACTATTCACCTCCACTTTGGTGAGTAGTTGTTGATTATCGCTACTACTAATGTTATTTTTGCCATTCTTCTTCTTATTATTGTTATTATTAATTATTATTATTTGTTATTATTAAGGAGGTATTGTCATTAGTATTATTAAAACCAATCATGTCCTTGTTACTTAGGGCTGTTTACGTGCGTTGGCTTTTGCGTTTTCATTGGCTCCTTGGAATGCTTCCCTTCATTTTGATTGGCTTTTATGATTATTTTGGATTTAGTCTTACGGAAATTTTAAAGAGCTAGAATGCTGGTTAATGCCATAACAACCAACCCGAGCTCTTTACTTAACCGTGCACTAGTTTTGAATCAGCTCTCGTAAGTGTTTTGATGGTAGCACAAAAGTTTTTGTTTATATTATCAGGTTACCGTCCCACGACATTCAGAACTCATTCCCAGGCTTCAGCAAATAGCATGCCATTGTGATTATAGCAGAAGTGCAGAGAGTGGGGCTCAGTGCCTTGCCGGGATTATTAACAAGTTGCCTGAAGGTACAGTGAGTTTGGTTATGTTATGAATACTTACCACGGTGATGAACAATCAATCTGTTTCATGTTCGTTATTGTTTGGAGGCCGATTAAGCCTTCTCAAAAGATTCCTTATTGCTGCCTTTTGTTTTCAATGGATGAGCGAACTAGCTAGAGATCAAACAAACGTGTGACTAACAGATTGTACACAGGAAAGAAACATAAAGGAAAATTATAAAATTAAACAACGGAAGAAGAAAAGGAGGAGAAAAAAGGAATGATAGGATGATTGAACTAAACATGAACGCCCAAACAAGCGAATGAAAGATAGAATCAGAACTAATGGAGTGTACTTTTTACAGCCAGGTCTTACTCTTTTTAGGCGACTAATACGCAAAATTGCAATTGCTTGATTCTCCACCAATGATATAGTGAGCTCTGGGATACACGACATTTATTGTTTACTATTCATTATCTACCCTATGTTAATTTGTTTTATTAACTGGGTTGATGATATAAATTGGCCACCGTATAGAGTTTTTAAGCTGACGTCTCGAGCGTTAGCCCTTCGTCTTCCCTTCGTCATCCCTTCGTCATCCCTTCGTCATCCCTTCGTCATCCCTTCGTCATCCCTTCGTCATCCCTTCGTCATCCCTTCGTCATACCTTCGTCATCCCTTCGTCATCCCTTCGTCAGCCCTTCGTCAGCCCTTCGTCAGCCCTTCGTCATCCCTTCGTCAGCCCTTCGTCAGCCCTTCGTCATCCCTTCGTCATCACTTCGTCATCCCTTCGTCATCCCTTCGTCAGCCCTTCGTTAGCCCCTCTACCACAATTTAGTTCTCTCTCTTTTCCCTTTTACTGTGGATTCTAGTAGCTGGGTAATGAGTTATTGTACTGAATAAGCCAGTAATCCAATTGTAACTAAATGCAGGAGGTATCTGATTCAAACAATAAACCGCAATTTCAACAAAATACCTCTGCGGGAGGTGCTTTTGTTCAATGAACTCCCCCTTTCCGCCCACCCTTCCCTGTAACTGCACCACCCCCAGTCCCTACTCATTGTAGTTATCTACTTTTGTTAACGAACTTCAGGTGATGAATTAACCTCGGTAGTAAATGGATTGGTGAGCAAGATATGGCAAGTCAGTGAAAAAGAGGGTTCACTGAAACGAGCCACCATAACTTGGCTCTGGGTATGATGTGATAATGTTTTATGTAAATACAACTTAAATAAGTGATTAAACATAAATACGGATTGGGTATTCATATGTCAAAATTACTGCAGAAAGTTGTTGGAGGGATGCAAATTACAGATTTCCCTGTCATTAAGGAGAGTTAGAGACAAATTTCCAGATTTTAACGGTCAAGGTAGCTGGAGGTCTCACAAGAGGAAAAACAAACCATCTTATTTTTTTGGTCATCAAATAGGTTTGAATTCTTCGCTCGTAAGATCTTTATTCTAACTTCAGTCTTTCCGCGGATGTCTATATGTCTCTTTGTTGGTTACTGCTGAGAGATTCTTGATACAGTCAAACAATGTCCCTTAAGGTACTATTTTCTTGCTTGTCATTAGCATGACCTGTTTGCCGATGGTGTTTAAAGATTGATGAGAGAATTAAATTATGATCAATCCTGAAGAATGAAACCAGCGCTCCAAATTCCAATTCAACCCAAGAAAACAGTAATCAAAGAGCTATGTAATGGATGTGGCACTGCTAAATTTCAATTTATATATGTTTGTCCTGTTATTTTTTTCCTAAAGTTTATTTCAGCCTATTTTGTGATGTTACTTAAGCCCATAAACACAGTCAGTTTAGCCAAACTCGTGACCACTGAAACCGAGCTTGTAAAATAACTATATGGTGCCATCTGATTCTGTTTTTGTTAATGGAGATTCTTCTTTGCAGTTGACAAAAGCCTTAGTCATTCGGTCGCATCCATTGGCGCCTTTATTTATTGATAAGGTTAGTTGAGTATTTTTGATATTAAAAACGTCTTTGCATCTCGTTTTAATTTACCACTATATGTTGCCTTTTTTCATGTTATCTCGAAAGAAATCTTTTCGCCTTTGTTTAAGAGTCAGAGGCTAGCTTTCATGACTAAACTTGTTTAATGTCCCATTCACACCTTTGTTTTTCGGCAGATTTTGAGCCTATTGGTCGATGAAAATGTCGGACGTGCAGCAGGAGATGGTTTTTACATCATCATGGCGGACTATGAAGAGGTTATGAACATTAAAATGCACGTGAATTACAGGGTAAGCATCTGACTTATGTATTGTCAAACAAAATACTCTTTAGGTTAGGCATGAACTTTTATTTCACTCAATTCTAAGAGAAATTGAGTAATCAGTTTAGTGTGTTATTTATTTTGTGTGAAATTCCCCTAAACTTCAAGGTACACAAATGTCTAACAATGCACAACAATATTTCCGCAACCACATTATCGACCGTGCAAACTTGAATGCTCCAAATATTTCGGAAATGTATTATACCACAGCCAATCACATTGGAGGGCTTGGCCCTTGCCTCCTTTGTAAATGTTTCAAGAGTAGTGAGATCACCTTGGTGAAAAAGAAAGTCCACCTTATAATTTTATTGGCCTCTGTGTAGAGATTACACGACGAAAGGAAAATAGTGCAAGGTAATAGGAGGATATTCTTGACCTCGGAATAAGAAGTAGCTCTGTCTATGAAAATTCATTGGGAGAATTTTGGGATTTCCTATGCCTAATGATCAACCTGTTTGTTTTCGCGGTCAACAGATGATGTATCGTCAACGGCTTTTTATGGAGACGTCTCCCAAGTTGATAGGAGGATTTCACTCTGCAAAACCAGGTGAGATTGGAGATATAAATCTTAAGAAGTGCTCAACTGAATGTGGACGCTGTGGAGACTTCTACAAGAGTGATTAATGAAGATGTCAATGGATGTAAACTAATATTTTTTAACATGTAAGTGCTGATCAAATTTCTCTTATCTAAAATAGCACTGTTGTTCAGCGACGTCTTTCATCACTCTCCGATTCATTTTGACTTTCGTTCGGCTTTTTCTTTGGGTTTAGCATCATTTCGCCATCGATATAAGATTAAGGCAGCAACGGCTTAAAGGAGCGAGGGGAGTTGTAAGTCCTGTCGGTTAGGGTCGGTGATTTGGAATTAAAGATTGAAAAGGAAAAGAACCTTTTACGTTGTAAGTTTAATTTGTTCTTTCCATAACATATTTCAAGATGCACTTTTCCTTCTCTCCTTGTTTTTGTTTTATTTGTGTAGAATTCAAGCATCATTACCTCTGTGCCTTGTCTCATCTGTTACAGTGGATACCAAAACAGGTTTTGCTCAGTGAGGTGCCGAACGTGAGTAACAAGTCTTATTTGTTGAGCTTTACATTTGGAGTCATTTTCAATCGAATGTCGAAAGTAATCCGACATTGCTTTGGTTTTGTTTTACTCCTCTCTGTGATTGGCCCATAAAACTCGCGCCACTTTCTAGACCAATAAGATTCAAAACTAAAACCACTCGTAATCACCACTCCTGTTTGCCCGCGTTTTCCCGCGCTTTAGAGAATTTCCGTGTTTTTACTTTGATTTCTTATTGGCTCCGTTTGATATTTTCCTTTGTTCTGATTGGTTGTTGTGATTACTTTGGTTTTGGTCTTAAGACACTCAACCGAAAAGCACTTTAAAAAAGTAGCTTTCCTGTGGTGTTGTACTTGAGAATTATTATGGTTTACGTTACTTTTTCTTTTTTTTTGCTCGCTGCAGTTGATGCCGCTATTGGTTCAGTCCTTGTCTTGCGATGAACAGAGTTTAAAGCTGTCCACTTTGCAGACTATGTACTCACTAGTTTTGGATGCGCCAGAGATTATCAGTCGTCAAGTGACTTCACTGGTTCCCATGCTTCTGGGTTTGACAAAGTTTCAACTCTCAATGGTAATTGCGATGTTCTTCTCTCGTTTGTAGCATTTTTGGTTCGTGGTCGATGGCAAGAAAGATGGGAGGTCACTGTGGCAGTGATACTCGGCGATACGGCATCTTTTGTCTTTTAACGTGTTGTTGAAAAAGGTTTTGTGGCTGACTTCTCGTGCGGGCAGGATGAAGTGAATCCTGTCATCTGATAGGCTACCCAAGTGAGAAAGATGCCCACTTTGTTCCCGCCCCCAAAATAAGCTTGTTGCCAGTTTTTGTATTTCGCATCCACTAGTAATTATGTTGTTACGAGAGGAAAGTATTTTCGGCCGATTTAATAGGAATGGTTTCTCAGGATATAGCAACCTCACTTTTTGGAGACACTCATAACAGAGGAAAACAATTGTCGAAAATTTTGATGATCTCTGCGACAACTATTTTATGTGAAGGAGCGTAGCATCGTTTTATTGATTTGAGCTTTTGACGATGGTTTTCTTATGTTGGAAAAAACTGAAACGAAATGTATTGCTTTGTTTTTTTTTTGTTAACAGAAAGTTAGAATGGAAGCTCTCAAGTGTCTTGGAGTTTTGACAACTTTACCTCACCACGTGGTAATCTTGCATTTACATTTTTGTATTTTTACTTATCATTCAGCCTTCTATGTTGTGCTTTCCATAAGTCATGTTTTAACAATTTTGATTAATAATCCGTTCTCTTCTGGCAGGTCTACCCGTACAAAACCAAAGTATGTAAAGCGCTTGCTGATTCAGTCGATGATAAGAAGAGATTGGTCCGGAAGGAAGCCGTAAAATGCAGAAATGAATGGTAACGACATAATTGGAAAGCAAAATGTTTATTGATCATCAGTATAATTATTATGCTTGAGAGATGTTCTTTGTGTTTTAATTCATCTGAGAAGTGTGCCTCTTAAAATCGTCTTGTTTAACTTCTCCTGAGAAGTTTGGATCAAAATTCTCAATACCCGTTTGCTTGGCAGGGCGTTGAAATTGAAAGAGGAATTTACGATCACGTAAAGAAATGTATAGGGAACAGAAGGGAGAATATGTATACTAGTGTTAAGGTGTAGAGGTTTAATGAGTTTTCTGTTGTGTGTTTTTCTTAGGTTTCTTCTTGGAAGTTCCGCAAGATAACGCCGGCTGATTCGTGGTCAATACAATGAACTAGTGGAAGATTTTACCAGTTCTTCATACCGTTAACTCAGGGCAGTGATCAGGCCAAACTCGTCAGAGGAGGGACTGGAGATGAACTCCCAATTGATTCCATGCGTGAATTCGCAAGAACGTTCTCCACAGTTGGAACGATGTGAACTTCTTTGGTGAAAATAATTGTGCGAGCGATATGAGACGAAACACTTGAGTTATCAACAGATATTTATCAACTGGAATGAAAATTAATATAACTATTTACATGAGAGTAAACGGCCTGATCCGTAATTTGTCTAGGATCAAGGAAGTGGTTGAAGACGCGCAGGAAATGTTGCAAACTCTGTACTCTGTAGGAATATAGATGTCCCCAAGCATTGGTTAATAATTATTGAAAAAGAGAGTGGTAGAAATTATCAAATTATTGTTATGTAAACTTCATTTTACAGCTAAATATGATTCTGTTATATATACTCGTACTCGATGTAAAAGGCTATTCACATTACTGAACTAAAGGAAAATTCTTACAAAATGTCCCTCTTGTGTTGTTTCTGCTTTTGTCTTTCCATACGAAACACGCTACACTAAAAAACATGGCGTTTCCTTTATTAAAAAATACCGCTCCTACAACACTCTCTCCTCTAGTTTACATTGCTTTCCATCTCTCTAAGATTACCTTGGAGCTTGAAAGTGTGTTCCGCGACTTGATCGACAAGTTTCCAATGCCCTCCCGGAACATTTTACGGGGGGAGAGGGGTATTACAAGATGATTTGGTCTTATTAACTGAGTTGACAAAGTAAATTAGTCACCGTTAAGATTTTCTAAAGCTTCTAGTCTGTAGCTTTAGAAGCTCTTACGATGGCAAATTTAAATTATCAACTCAGTTGAAGAAACCGAGCCATTCATCTAGACCCACTGCAATACATTCCGTACAAGCTGATTGCAGAAGTTTTAATCCGCTTTATTCATCATTGCTTCACCTAAGCGGAGTAACCTTCAATCTGTAGGTAAATACGATTATGAAAAAGCAAACAAGACTAAAAATGAAAAAGCAAACAAGACTAAAAGGACATACTGTTAACAAGGACAGCTTAAAATGCCATGGTTGCATCAAAATAATCACACTTTTCAGTTGTAAATTCAGTCAAAGCCCATAGGTACGACGCCTATTAATGGCGGTTGGACAGATTTTTTGAAAAGAAACATCTATTGTTAACAATATTAATAATACGCTAATAATTTAATTTAACATCGTTGTGTTAATATATCTCCATGAAACTGCCACATTAACCCTCTAAAACCCGAAGAATGACCAACATCTAATTTCTCCATACAATATCTTGCTGAATCGTTAACTAAGATAACGAAAATGGCGGAAATGATCACTAAGCTAAGAAGCTTTGATTATTAAACAAATTTTCCTTGTCAGTATGGATAAAGTGGATACTGATGTCAGCTTGTAAAAGGTTCCACATGTTGAAAGATTTGTGTCTCGCGGATTGACTGATGACCAGATAAACTGATATGCTTAAAAAGTATCAGAATGTCCAACAGTATCGTTTGGAAGGCAAATTTGATACTCCTTTATTTCGGCCCTAATATGACTAGCTTTTAGTTAGACGAGGGAGATAAGGTTCGAAGAATGAAAATAGCTTTTCCTTCAGGAGGGGAACTAATTTAAGGCGGAAAAAATATCAAGAGCTTTAAGGTTTTTTTATCAGTTTTTTCCCTAAGTTTGATGTGGTTGACGAATCGTCCAGAAAATGTCCTATGAGAGGCGTTTATATCCTTTTTTATCAATTTTTTTTTCAGCAGAGTAGTATGCAAAACTATGCAAAACATTGTGACATTTTGTCCGTGGAGATTTGAAGTTCAAATCCATATTCATGAAGCAAAAGACCACGTTGTTCATGGCGGGCGTGTTTGGAAGCGTTCTCTTAGTAGAAGAGAATTCTCTTTTAGAGATAAAAAATCAAATACTGAAGACATCCACAGGAATGGGGGAATGTTTATAGGCTTTGGCCACTTTCTGGTAAGTAGTTGAATGTTTTACTCTGCTAAAGTTTAACTTAAAATGTTCCGCGTTGATGTTGTAAATCAGTCGTGTGTTAGGGAAGGTGACGTTTGCTTTACTAAGGGATTTATAATGCATTCTTTAAATCTTCATTTTGCTGCCAAAACATTTAATAAATTTCCACTCGTAGGACTAAACAAAAATGAAGACTATCTTTAACCCAGCACGATACACTTCACATTCGAATACTGTTCAACTTAAGTGACCTGTCCCAAACAATATGGCGGTTTTTTGCAACTGATTTTTTTTGTTGTTGAGTGCCTTTTAGCTTTGTAAAGTTATTATCTCTCCCTTTGATACTTAAAGCTCTGGGCCCAGTTGTAAAGGGGGTGGATAACTCTATCCAACGGATAAATCGCTATCCAATAGATAACTGATAATAAAACGTACTGCGTTATTCACCAGATAGAGATTTATCTAGTGGATAGTGTTATCTGACCTTCGAACAACCGGAGCCTGATGTTTTGCTATCGTTCCTTTTATTAAATACTTTTAGTGGTCAAAGTCGTGGCTCCATCTTGTAGCACTTTTTAATGTTTTTGTTTGCTTTATTTATTCACAGACGAAGAAGGAAACAGCGAATTTAAAACAAGAATGAAGGGTCGTCAAGGGGGTTAAAAGAAATGGCTAATCACAAGCACAAGTTCAAGCTGGAGGAGACAGATAAGCGGAATTAACATTAATTTTTAAAACTTGGCAGAATTTCGACCGTAGATTGTAAATCGCATAAGTTTTCAGGAGCACCCGAGAAACAAAACCAAGAGCTGTTTTATTTCAATTTCGAACGTTTCATTATAAGAAATATTTTCGAATTTCTGTTGCTTTAAGGAACTTCGATTTCTCAGCTCAGGAAAAATAACTAGGGGTGGTTTTATAAAGCACAATTACCTTGTATATATTTGGCTTTTAAATTGGATCTTAGTTTTGTTTTGGTTTTTCCTCGAATCGAGAATTATCATTTTGTAATGTATCACTCGTACTTAGGCTTCCTCAGTGGAAACGTAAAAAGGCTTTCAATATTTTTGGAAGTGAACTTTTCGAGGTGATTGTTGCCTCTATTCAACGAGAAGCTTTAAATTTCCTGTGGATTTTAGGAATTTTGATCTCGTGAGGAAAACAACGAAAGATGATTTAAAAAAGGGTTATTACATTTCTGATTACTTCTGGATTTGTTTCGTAATTTTGTCAGTGATCTGAGGAATTTTAACCTCATTAGGATTATAATGAATTATTTCACTCAAAAAGTATCGATGTTTAACTTACCTAGTATTCAGATTTCTTCGAAGGACACTCAAAAGGCCTTCAATTTTGTTGGAAGCGCAATTTCTTCTGTGTTAATTCCAGAAATGGCAATAAATTTCTATTACCCAGCGATTAGGAGTTTTGATTTGTTCAGATAAACATAACGACGGATAACTTGATGAGACAATTATTTTTATCTTTACTTCTAAATAGGCCATGGTTTTAAGGTCTACTTTATAGTATCGTTTTGTTAGCAGGATTTCTGCAATAATTCATTTCTTACACAAAAACTGAAAAGGCTCGTAGGAATATTGATTTCTTCAGAAGACATGACGAAAGATAATTTTAATATAGCACGATGTTATCTGTATTAACTCGTAAATTTTTTGTATCGTCTGGTTTTTCGCCATCCAAGAAAATCGTTCTATAGATATCTACAGTATTTTCATGTGAATTTCTGTTGCCTTTATTTTCTTCAGGAGAACGTAACGAGGCAGAAGTTTGAGAATCAAATTACATTTTTGTTTTCTTCTAAATCTGTTTTATGGTCTTGTTTTTCGATTCAAGAATTACTGTTTAGGGAGGTCTTCGATTTTAAAGAAAAGTGCGATTTCGTTCTTCCCAATTCCAGAAATAATTTCGATATTTTTAGGATTTATTTGTTCTATTTAAGAAATATCGTTTCACAATGCATTCCTATTATTTTGATTTATTCAGAGAATATAATAGAGCTTTTGATTTGATACGATGTGCGATTTTGTTTGTCCTACTTCCAGAAATTACTTTGATTATCTGTTGCTCCGCGCCAATGAATTTTGGTTTTTCCAGGTGCACATTATACTGAGAGATAATTCAAAGATATGCAATTGCATTTATAACTGCCTAAAAATTTGTTCCAAGGTTCAGTTTTCTTTTTATTGTCATGGGAGTATAGTTTAATAACATTTGCAGTGTTAGATTTCTTCAACGAAAAATTCAAAGGCCTCCAATTTTATAGGCTCCTAGAGATTTGGATCTTTTCAGGTACACATTATAACAAAAGATAATTAAAAAATGTGCAATTGCATTTAGAACTGCCTCAAAATTTGTTTCAAGGTAAAGTTATTTTTTAACCGTCGTAAAATATATAGTTTAATACCATCTGTTTCGTTAGATTTCTTCAGCGAAAAAAATTAAAAGGTCTCCAGTTTTATAGGCTCTTGGATATGTTGATTTCCTCAGGAAAACGTAGCGAAAGGGTATTTCAAAAGAGCACTAAAGCATTGGTGTTCATCTCCGAATGATTTTTTAAATCTAAGGTCTTGTTTTTCTGACCCTTCGAGAGGTATCGTTCCAAACATATCTCCAGACTCGAGATTTATATAGGGAAGCTAGGAGACCTAGGAGGGCTTCGAATTTCATAGGAATTGAGGTTACATTTGTCTTAATTCAAAAGTTTTTTTCTGAGGTTTGTTTTTGTCGGGAAAACACAACGAGTTGTAATTAAAGAATCACAATTACGTAAGTTACCTCTACTTTTGTTTTTGATTCTTGTTTTTGATTCTTGTTTTTCTCCACTCGAAAATGATTGTTTTCATAAGCTATCTCTAGTCTTTGGATCCTTCCGCAAAAACTTCGAGGCCTTTGATTTTGAAGGAAGCACAATTTTGATTGAAATAATTTTCATAATTTCGATCCAAAAGGTATCTTTGTATAACACGTTTTTGTCATCTGGATTTCTGCAGTGAAAATTAAAAGATCTCCGATTTAATTTGAAGCGTAACGCCGTTTGTTCTAATTCCAGAAATTACTTTATTTCTATTTATTGAAATGAGAGATGATTTGAAGAAGCAGGATCATATTTATATATATTTCTAAATTCGCTTCAAGGTCTAACTCTTCTTTCTACTGGACGGGTATTATGTTGCAACATATTTTTAGATCTTTGGAACATCTTAAGAAAATATTACGAGAAATAATTTAAAAATAGGAAAACACAAACAGATTCAATAATTTTATTTTTTAATTCAGTTTAAGGTATTGTTTTGATCACACAAGAAATATTGTTTTAGCACATATCTCCTGTATAAAGATTTTTTCAACGAAGAGTATGAAGCACCGTACTCAATAGGGAGAGAAGAGTATACTCCCGATAATTTTCAGAACGTAAGTTCGTTTTGTTTGGTACTATTTATGATTTAAAATGTCGGTGAA